TACATACATGCATACATACATTTCACTTCCAAGAGCTTTATTCCCTTTTTTTTTTTAAAAAAAAAAAGAAAAAAATTATTGAGCTATTAAAAATTTGAAGCATCATGAAATCGTTTCTTTTGTATTAAAATAAAATACGATCTATGTACATACAAATAATAATTAATAATAGTCTTAGATAAGTTTTAATACAAAATTAAGTTAAAACATGATTCAACTTAATTCTAGAGGTTATTTAATGTATTAAATATTTTAGTTATATTATCATTAAATCATTTATTGCGTTTGCGCTTTTTTCTATTCAATCCCGGGATTTCCCGGGGACAAATTTCTCAATCCCGAAAAACCGGGATTGAAAATTTCCGGGATTTTTACCATCAGATACGCGGAAATAGCGATTTACGGAGCCGAAAATTCTGTGACTCGTTTTCTTGACGTTTTTTTAGGTAGCCTAAGGCAAACGTATTTTGGAGGAGTTTCTTTTTAGAAATATATATACACATAGTATATTTTTGGAAAGAAGAAGAGTTAAGCTTGCTTTTTGAGTTATTTTTATATACGGTTGTCTTACCATTTTATGGAGCATTTGGCTCAGGACAAATAGGTTGGTGTTTACTTGTCAAATTTTTGTCGAAGGTCTTTTTATTCCGCTTTTTTGATTTTTTAAATAAGTTTTTACATGCATTTTCTTTGCACCTACCAAATTTTATCGAAAAATATTATGTAGCAGATAGTTAAATCAGTTTAGCACTTTACTGGTACCTAATTTCTGTTTTTCCGATTTTTTTTAGCGGATTTCTCGTCTCATTTTTTTGAGTAGGGTTAGGCAAACGTTTTTTTGTAATGTTTTTTTTTCAGAAACATATGTACGCATAGTATATTTTCAGAAACATATATACACATAGTATATTTTCAGAAACATATATGCACATAGTATATTTTCAGAAACATATGTACACATAGTATATTTTCAGAAACATATATACACATAGTATATTTTCAGAAACATATATACACACAGTATATTTTCAAAAACATATATGCACATAGTATATTTTCAGAAACATATGTACACATAGTATATTTTCAGAAACATATATGCACATAGTATATTTTCAGAAACATATATACACATAGTATATTTTCAGAAACATATATACACATAGTATATTTTCAGAAACATATATGCACATAGTATATTTTCAGAAACATATATACACACAGTATATTTTCAGAAAGAAGAAGAGTTAAGTTTAGTTAATTTTATTAATATTGCTTTTAGGCCTAAGAATTTATTTGTTTGTTTGATTTTTATTCGTTACTTTAAAAAAAAAAGTTTGAAAAAATGTCACTTTTCTATAACTAGAAAATCTCTTTAATTCGATCTTTTATTTTTCCCCATAAAATTCGAATTAGAGAGATTATACTGTATTAGATTTTGAATGTCTTAATAATATAATCGTTGTACGAAGGGTGGCCCAAAAATCTTTTTTGTACCAGTACATATTTTTATGCTTCTAGGAATACGAAGTTTATTGTTTTTTTGTAACAAATTACCTTTTTTGTCTCTTACTCAAGATAATTTACTCTACCGCTAATAAATAATAATGGCTGCTTTACGGTGACTTTGCATATTTTATAAAATATTTTATATTTTAATTGTAGAAGTAACATATTTAATGTACTCTCTTTGCAAAATTTATGCATATAAACAATAAATAATTATTATTAGTTTTTATTTTTGTGTGTTTTACTTGTGCATCTTGATTTATAGTGGAACCCAGAACCTTTAGACATGGCAGGGGCCCAGGAGAATCACCTCTGACCTTCCTGGCCATTCCGACCCCGGATGATTGGATGAAAATAAATCGGACTTAATTTAAAAAAAGAAGTTTAGCAATTACAACAATACTGTTTTGTTTAATATTACTTTTAAAATAGACATCATTTCATTTTATTTTTAAATTTATTTTTATACTCAAAACAGCAATAAGCTCACAATGTACTAAATAAAGATATGCTAAAAATTTAATCAAGTCAGAAGATTTGGAATTTTATGTAATTGGTCGAACGAATCGTAAATGCAAACAAACTAAACGAGTCGAACTAAATCACATAAAAACGAATTTGATAAAAGACTTGCACCCATTCGTTTAACTTTGTTTTCAAAAAAAAAAAAAGGAAACTATTCAAAATAAAAAAAAGCGAAGAAACGAGCGAAGGCTCTCACGAAAGTAACAAAGACTAAGAATTACAATTAAAATCAACAAACGAAACCAAAGATAGAAAAAAATATCTTAACTTTAAATTGGTCTTTTTAAAAAAGCAAAAAAAGTCGTCAATTTTGAACTAAAAAATTTATCATAAAGGATACATGGTCGCAGCTTTTTTTTTTGTGAACATTAACTATTGTTTGGTAAATTAAAGAATTTTCGAGCGGCATTTAGAAAAAGGAAGATAAGGAAATTTAGAAAAACACCTTTAAAATACCAACAACTCTAAGACATATTATGAATAAATTAAATACAAATATATATATTTTTTTCCTCATTTATTTAGCCGTACAAATATTTACAAGTTTCGCGTTTTATAATATATATAAAAATGGCAAGAACGAAAAGAAGATAGGTTTGCCTTATCACCAAGTCCCTTGTTTTTTCAAGATATTTATATAAATACGTTGTAACTAAAATTAAAAATTACAAATGAAAGAAAAAAGCAAAATGTTTAAAGAAGTTTATACAAAATGCAAAACAGTTTAATAGAGTCTTTTAAAGTTATTTTTAATGTTTAAAAAATATTTTTAATTAATTAAAAAGTTCTCAATAACATGAAGGTTAACTACGGTAATGCGATGCAAAAAATATAACTAAAAAAAACATATATTTTTTATAAGCGCTAAGTTAATATGTTTATTTAAAATAAAAACAGTCCAAAACCTTTTTATTTGAAAAAAATTATGAAAATTTTGAGGATAAGTATTGTTGAAAATTTTTTTTTGCGTAAATTTGACATTTTTAAAGCCATTATGAACAGTTCAAGCAAGCTTGTCTTCATATCTAGTAATTAAACGGATATATTTTTGAGTAGAGTAAAGGACCTCTGTTTTATTAATAAAATAAAATAAAAAGGCCACGGAAAAAAAATTCTGGCCTACTTTGCAATAGTTTGTCATTCAATTTTCTTCCTTGAAGGTATAATTTTCAACCCTAAAAGGTAGAAAATTATACCTTACTAAGGGTACATTCTACCCTAAGGTAGAAGTTTCTTCATTTTTTTTAGTGTGTAATGTCATACCAGAATCAAGTAAGTTGTTGATATGTAATATATGGCTGATTGCTGATTAATATAATTTTAGGGTAAGGGTAACATACTCGAAATCAAATATACTTGAATTCAAAATAATTTAATCTTTGGCACAAATATACAAAGATATTTTTATTTTACCATATAGAATAAATAAGATAGTCTTATTTATTCTATATGGTAACACAAAACATTCTTAAACTATCTTTTTTTTTTCACTTAAGGACTTACTTGTTATAATCTACTTCTACTTTACACTCTCTTATGATATGTCTGAGTTTTCCTCACTTTCTACATTGCACAAGATTTTTTTTACTGAAAATCGTTGGAAGTGTTCTTATCACCAGTCTGCAGTAAATGTCGTGTGTAATTATTCGCAATGACATCTGTCTTGACAACTTGTTCCTAATTTATAATGTATTTATTCCAAATTTCTCTCGACTGGTTAGAGTACCTAGCAATAGGCAACCCATCTGTTAACACAAAAAGTTCCCAGGCATGTGCGCACATTTGATTCACGCTGGGGCTAAGAATAGCCCATGGAAATGTCAGTTTTAGGAATATCATAAATCCATAAACAACTTTTTTAACTTTTTTTAGGATTAACTTTTTGTTAGTTTCAACATGCGGATTAAAAAAGTTCTCAATAACATGAAGGTTAACTACGGTAATGCGATTAAGAAAGGTAAGGTTTTATGTTGCTGTTTTCAGACGAACAAAAAGTTTGAGTTTTGTATGAGGTCTTTTAAGTATCTTTGATATATATTAGATGATGTTAGGGTTGCAGTTAAAATGCTGGAAATATATTCTTTTTAGGACTTTATTTTGGAGGTTAGATTATCGTTTAAATGTTCAAGAGCAACTTACCAGCAGCCAACCTTCAATATTGTAGTGACTTCAGCTGTTTGAAAAAAGATTCAAAAAAGTTTCACAATAGGCTCAATAGCTTTGCAAATTGTTTTGCAATAGCAAAAAAAGCATTTTTATCCAATACGTTGACACATGAAAAAAATGTAGAAGTGCCAAAATTTTAAAGGGAGTTTTTAAACAAACTTGACACTTGAAAGACCAATATAAGCTAGGAAGCAAATGCAACCTTTACTTGGCGATGGTCCAAATAAATTGAGCAACAATGGCAATTCCGGCAACAGCAACGGCAGCAAACCAAGTCAACTGTAAAAAGTCTCGTAAATTGTAGGCGAAGCTTTAATAAGTTAATCTGCAGAAACTGTCAACAACTTAACATCATCAAAAAAAAATTGTATTAACTGGCTGTTTTTTAAACAACTTTTTTTCAATTGTTATTATATGTAGTACTTTTTTTAAGTGTTCTTTTGTAAATTAAACACTTAAACCCAATTAGGTGTTCTATCGTAAAATGAGTGCAAATGAAACAAATTTTGTATTAACATGTTAGTACCCATAGATACATTAAACCTTTTGCAACTGATACTGGATTTGCAAGATACCCATAGATACATAAAAGTTTTTGGAACTGATAAATAAGAAAAAATTTATTGTTTAGATATTACATTACCAACCTGTACAGGTTGTTAATCTAATATCTAAAAACTAAATTTATCAGTTGCAAAAACTTTTATGTATCTATGGGTATCTACGTCTGGCACATTAAAATTTGAGTGTCTTTCAAATTGAAATTAAACCAAAATAATAGTTTTTAATGAATTTATTAACATTTATCAAATTATAATTACATAATTATGATAATTAATTAATTAATTTTCTTTTTTTTTGTACAAGTTATTTCTGTTATATGTTACAATCTTAATCTGATTATATTAGCTTAAACCTGTTTATTATTATTTTTAACAACATCGGGTGTCATATCTTGTATTAGATAATCCACGTCATAGTGATTAACTTTAGGATGTGGACACGGGTACAATCGGTTGATTTGTTGAACATCTAGATGTGATAATTGAGTCCTCTGCCCAAACTTTAAACCCTGGTCTACTTTTGCAACTAAAGTATCTTTACCATTTTTGGAAAAAGCATCGTTGCTGTAATGCATAACGCTCTAATAGCAAATTTAAATTTATTATATATATATATATATATATATATATATATGTATATATATATATATATATATATATATATATATATATATATATATATAATATATATATATATATATATATATATATATATATATATATATATATATATGTATATATTAATAAACAAGACAAACTTTTTAATTAATAAAACTATTTTATTAATTCTAAACAATACATGTTTTGACTATCACAAGTCATCTTCAGTTGAAGTTAAATTTTTAAATTTGTTTAAATACCTTTATAGGTGATTTTTACAATATCAGTACAAAATGTAATTATCTGTGTACAAACTATTAATTTAATTACAAAAATACAACCAAATCTATTATAAGAATAACAAGTCATACTAAAAAACGAATAGGAAGTGACGAAAAAATAAGTTAATAAAAAATTACATAGAAAGTATTAACTAAACAGAAAGTGTCATTTGGACATGGTTGACCTGTTTGTTCATACCAGGTTTTAACCATTCTATGAACATGCTTTTTTAAGTTTTAATTCGAACTTATTAGATGCTGAATCTAAAACTGAAAAACACTTTTCATTTAATTGCATAAAACAATTTTTATTACAATGGAGATATTTATAGATATGTGAATTTTTGTCTCTCTTATAATGTTCAATTACCCGCGTCTTGAGATGCCGAGTAGTTTCGCCTATATAACAGGAGTTAGATCTTGCGCATACGAATTTGTAGACCACAAAAGATTTGAACTCTAAAGGAATAGGATCTTTAGAGGAGAAAAATTTTGAAACTTTTAGTGAGACAAAAACTAGTTTAAAATTTACAGAACAGTAATATCTTTTAATAATTGAATTCAATCTTTTTTTAATTAAATCAGATATTTTTCCTGACAAAGGTTCTTTGATTTTTGGTTGTGATGAATTGTTTGTGTTAATTTTGTTTAAAAAAGATTTATATATTTTCGATATTAGCCAAGATAGATACATGTTTCTTTGAAATACTTTGAAGAGGTTGTTTATGTCGGAGTTAAACCCTAGATTAGTACTATTGATTTTAAATGTTCTATCGATTAAGCATTTGATAAGACTAACTCTGTACAAAAACGGAGTGAAATTATAAAAATTGGTGTGTAGACCAGAGTAGGTTTTTTTATGAAAAACTGTAGTAGTTACTGTAGAATTTATTTTGTGTAAATTTACCTCCAAGAAAGATATTTTCAAACTCACTTCTTGTTTCGTGGTGAAAGAAATAGAATTGTGTCTACTATTTATATAATTAAAGAAAATACGTGTATTTAAACAAATTTAAAAATTTAACTTCAACTGAAGATGACTAGTGAAACATGTATTGTTTAGAATTAATAAAATGGTTTTATTATTTAAAAAGTTTGTATGTATATATGTATATATATATATATATATATATATATATATATATATATATATATATATATATATATATGTATACATATATATATATATATATATATATATATGTATACATATATATATATATATATATATATATATATATATATATATACATATATATATATATATATATATATATATACATATATATATATATATATATACATATATATATATATAAATATATATATATATATACATATATATATATATATATATATATATATACATATATATATATATATATATGTATATATATATATATATATATATATATATATATATATATATATATATATATAAATATATATATATATATATGTATATATATATATATATATATATATATATATATATATATATATATATATATATATATATATATATATATATATATATATATATATATATAAATATATATATACATATATATAAATATATATATATATATATATATATACATATATATAAATATATATTATATATATATATATATATATATATATATATATATATATATATATATATATATATATATATATATATATATATATATATATATATATATATATATATATATATATATACATTTATTTTTAGGTTTTTGATTTTAGAAAAATCTAACAGCTTTGTAACTAACCCAATAATTATAAGGAACATTTAAGTTATTGATATTTCCAAACGAATACATGTAGAAGTTGCCAATTAAACCTAAATAGTTAATGGTTATACAGATAAAAAGCTTATTAAGTAATGAAAGCTTAACATTAAGGATACCGGCAATATTTTATTATGTTTCAGATATGACATTTTTTAGGCACTGTGCAAGGTTATGTCAAATGCAAATGTATGCAAAAAATTGTGATTATTTGAACCTGGGAACAAAATTACACCAAAAAGCACACTCTCCGCTATCTTAAATGAGAGAAAATGAGTAAAAAATAAAAATAATCTTATACTTATAAAATATTTTATTAACTTATAGTCCAAACATTTGGGGTAGTTGATCCTATTATGCATATTTTAACAAAATAATTTGACACAAGCATGATTTTACTTAAGATTGGAGTTTGCACAATGCCTAAAAGTGTCACACCTGAAAGATCAAAAAAGTCCGCCGTCCCTGCATAACAAAAAAAACTCACCTTCTTGCTAAACATACAGCTGTAAAGACAAAAAATTAAAAACAGTATTTTAAACTATCAAAAAAAAACTGTACTTGTAATAATGTTATCAAACTTCACGTCGACGTAATTATTACGGTCTGATCTTGACTGTTCATGTATAAATCCAATTGCATGCATCATCTCATGAAGAACTGTGCCTATACGCTGACAGCCGTTTCCAAGTTGAACGTATTGCATTCCACCTTGTCGACCAACTGAAGAACTGCATCTTACATATAATATTTAGAAAGCCATAACAAACAAAGGTACAAATAGATTTCAAAAATGCTCAAATAATAAACACTTACCCTTCTTTAGTTGAAGTGAATCGAACAAAATCATTATCATATTCAAGGTTTCTAGGAACAAATCTTACACAAGTAAACTTATCAAGTTCTGCAATAGCATACAAAATTCCTTCTTTAATGGTCGGTACTTAAAAAATGTTATAAAAATAAGTGTAAATGTAAAAGACGTCTAAAAAAAATCATACAAAGTTAACTCTTAAAAAAAAAATTTTTTAGAAACATATTATAGGTTAAAAAGCATAATATATTTTATACTTAAGTTAAACTTTCAAAGAGTTTTAAATTAGATATTTTAAAAGTTCTTTTAGCAATAAAAATAACAAAAATGAAATTTATGTTATTTAAGTTTAGTACGTCACAAATTCAAACGTTTTAATTTGTGACGTACTAAATTCAAACACGTACTTAACAAGTACGTGTTTGAATTTAGTACGTACTAAATTGTGACGTACTAAATTGTGACGTACTAAATTCAAACACGTACTTGTTAAGTACGTGTTTGAATTTAGTCGTCACAAAATACAAAAACATCAACGGACGGTGGTATGAATTTGGACAATGGACAATATTTAAAAACAAATTTTTGGACTTCATTTTTTTCATACTTAGGTAAAAAAAGCCATTATAAAGGTGACGTCAAAATTTGTTGTTGTTGTTTAACGGTCACAATTTTTGTAATTATATTATATTATATGCTGATGATGCCGGTGCCTATAATCCGGCGAAAATTTCGAATAAATTATTTAGTATTGAGAGAATTCGTATTAAAGTGAAGCATTGAGAGAATTCGTATTAAAGTATTTAAAGTGAAGCATTGCTCTCGTCACATATTTCTCGTCCAGAATTATTTTGTTACGTTTTATGAAAATGTTTAAGGTTGTTAAAAAAGGTAAACATGTTACGTTCTTTATCGTAACGTTACGTTAAAAAACGTAAATCAATTACTATTGGTAATCTTTTTATATATAAATTTAAATTAAATTACTTCAAAATTGTCAAAATTACTAATTATATTTTAATTGTAAAAATTACATTAAATTTATTACAACTTGATGACATCCAGAAATGAAATTCTAGAAATGACTGAGTATTTTCCGTATTAATCACTTCACCTTTCATTGTGATATTGTAAGGTTTTGCGCATGCGTATTGGAGTTATTGCAATTTGTTTGTTCAGAATTTAATAAATTTTTTGCCTAAAACTATTGTCAAGATAAATTGTGCTTAAAAATATTTCCATTAAAATAAATTTTTTTTAAATTTTGCACCCATAATAATACATTAATAATCATTTTCATAGCTTGAACTTACCCCAGCTTGGAGTATGTTAGTGTTTTTTTTTTTAATTTTTTTTGAGATCCCGTTTGGGCAGGAATGAAAATTCTTTTTTATAATAAATGCAACAGGTTATTTTTTATACTTAAAGATTACACTTTTATGTTTATAATTTAAAAAAATATTATAATGGCTGTAGAGCTCAAAGAGTAAAAACCTTTATCACATCTATATCAATTTAATGACTTCAGAGAGAAAAATATTGATAAAAAATAAAAAAATGATAAAAAAAAAATTGATAAAAAATAAAATATTGATAAAAAATGAAATATTGATAAAAAATAAAATATTGATAAAAAATAAAATATTGATAAAAAATAAAAAATTGATAAAAAATGAAATATTGATAAAAAATAAAATATTGATAAAAAATAAAATATTGATAAAAAATAAAATATGATAAAAAATAAAATATTGATAAAAAATAAAATAATTGATAAAAAATAAAATAATTGATAATTCGAACTTCAGTTTAGTAAATCAACTTTACCAAACGAGTTTAAAAACATTAGATGAAAAAAATGAGAGCTTTTTTTTTTTTTTTACTAAAGAGCCTTAAACTTATATAAACGTGAAAAATTATTAATACACTTACGCAAAGTACTATCAAAGTCATATGGAATTACAGCGTTTGGCCAACGATTTGGGCCGTTTTCCATTGATGATGAAATCACGCTTTTTTTTGTATTTGTAGCCAGTATTGCTGATCTTAAGACGTTGTCCATAACAATATCTCCTTCAAATATATCTAAATAAGAAAATTGTAACAAAATTAAAAAATAAATTTTTTTTTCTAAATTTTTAAAACCTTTTATACAAGTATCTTATATGAAAGTTAAATTCAAATTTTTAACATAAACAAACCTCCAACTTGAGGAAGAAACGCATCTGTTGGTATTTTTATTGGATCTTCATCTGTTAGATCTTCATTCAAATAATACTCAATTTGTTTTGAGTTTTTTAAAGAAACTACAACAAAATATAACTATCAGAGTTTAAAAAAACTTTGAATTTGAATAGTAACAAAAACCTTTTTTAGTTTTAATATCCATTCATATACTTAAATACTTTTAGTATCTTAAATTAAACGTATGTACGTTGTTAATAATTATTTACATGTGTTTTAGTAACTGTTTAGATTGTTATAAATTAAGCGAGTAATATAAATACATTTATCACAATAAATACAAGCCCTGCAAATAAAGCTACGATAAAATTGCAGTTTATAAATTTTATTTACCTGGTAATTTCATTCCTTGTGTACAAACACATAAGCTAATAAGGAATACCTGCCACATAACTTTGTAATGCGTTTTTTTAAAAACGTACTTAAAATAATAAAATATGGAAAGTTTTCCAAAACATTAGGTTTCCTAAGTATTTATATTTTTTTTGAAAGTACCACATATGGTTTCATTTTCAAAAAAGAAATTGTGGTTAAATTTGTTATATTACAACTTCCTTGTGTTTAAATGGTTAACATTAAAGTTATTATTATTCACAAATTTAAACAATGGTACTATTTATATAATCTTCTTGTCGTGTAAAAACGTATGTATATGAATATATATATATACGTGTATATATATATATATATATATATATATATATATATATACATATATATATATATATATATATATATGTATATATATATATATATATATATATATATATATATATATATATATATATATATATATATATATATATCAACTGCGGAATTATCATTTTCCAGTCAGCAATGACTCAATCACAATTAAACATCACCATGGAAAAGTATATCCATAAAACTGTTTAAGATACTATTGCATACTAACTATTTTTTAAATGAATGTGTGCTGGTAAAAGATGACTAATCACGTTAAAAGATAATTAATCATGTTGCGTGTGATAAATAATTAAATAAATAGATGATTTTCATCTATTTTGCTATATCATACAAAATTGAAGAACTTTTCCCTTTTTTATATATGTTTTCAGCCCCCCCAAAATTTCGCGACCTTCCTACGCCACTGTATATAAATACATATATGCATATATATACACTTAAAAAAGTTTTTACTAAATATTTTTTATAAACGAATTGTTACAAATGCGAACTACAAGCTTTTATAAAAAATTTAAAAAGAATACAAAGCTTAGAGACACTCTCAGCAAAATGTACAAACATTATTGGTTTTTAGTTTGATATTTATATGTTTGTTTTAAAATACTTATCTACTTATTATGAATAAAGTTTAAAACTGTCATAGACATTTATGTTTGCACTCACGAATTTAAGATTAAGTTTGCAACCATGAAGATTCACGCTTGTTCAAATTTTTACAGCTGCTTTGCATTTATGTATGTTTGCACTTATGCATTTTTGTAGCTCTTGAAAATTCTTTCAGCGCACTTTTGTCAGTTTGCACCGATTTTGAATATTTTCATTCACACTTGTTTGATTATTTGCATCTACAATATTTGAGCTTATGAAGATTCGCATTCATAAAATGCACTTCAAAACCCCTCAAATTTAGTGACCAACTAAGCTGGTTTCAGAGTTTGTCAATTATTTTCAACTTGAATTCAACACCCAAAAAAAAAAGTGATCAACCATTGAATTTATTCATTAAGGAAATGAGTTTATTTTGAAAATAAAAATAATGTTGTTAATTATAACTTTATTTATTGTTTAATAAATAATTAGCTAAAACATGAATATAAGTTTTTTAAAATAAATTAAATAATTGGTATAACTTGATTCTTTTCTATAAAAGAATCCTTGATTCTATTTTATAAAAGCATTGCTAAATTTCAATTGCAAAATGCAATCATAATTATGTTATATCTGCACTTTGCAATCAAAATGCATTTATAAGATATTTAATTAAAATAAATTAAATAATTAAAATAAATTAAACAATTAAAATAAATTAATTAAATAATAAAAAAAATAAAAGCCAATTTAACATGCTTTCTAAAGTTTATAAAAAAATGCCAACATTTTCAATGAGATTTTTTTGGTTTTTAAAAACTAAAAAAATTTCATTAAAAAAGTGAGCATTTTTTATAGAATTTTAGAAAGCATATTAAATAAAGTTAAAGGTTAGAAAATTTAGGAGATTTCTATGACAATTTGAACAAATTAACAATTTTTAGATAACAATTCACATCGATTAATTTTTTAGTTTGATGACTTTCGAAAACTTATTTTCTAAAAAAAATTAATTCAAGTAAACTTTATATTTTAAATAATTTTATCGCGTTTATTTTATAGGTTTTGAAGGGGAGAACGGGATTGGTTGTCACGCAGGTTGGTTGTCACAAAGATTTTTTTTTTTTTTTTTTTTTTTTTTCAGGCAACAATTTTGTTTCTGAAAAAAAACAAAAAACAAAAATCACGTAACTTAATATATGCTTTTAAAAAACTAAATGTTCTCGCTCAGTTTGTGGCACAAGTATATTTTTATATGTTGTTTAGATGCATTCTATTATTTATAGACCCCACCATCTAATGATTAGATGGATCTGATAAGTTTGATTAGATTCTAATTCGAAATTCTAATTGAAATTTTTTCTTTAATTTGTTTATTTTTTTTGATTTTAAGAAATAAAAAATATTTTTGCAGTCAATGCGATAAGTTTAGAGTAGATATAGATCTAGGTAACTTGAGTGTAAGATCCCCAAAAAACCGTTCGTTGGGGATCTTACAATCAAATTACCCAGGACTTTAATATTATAAATAATATTTTCATTATTGTTATTGTTATTATTATTATTACTATTGTTATTCTTGCTATTATTATTATTGCTATTATTATTATTGTTATTATTATTATTGTTATCATTGTTACACAAATAATTTTTTTTAAATTCGGTTTTGCCGTCAAAACGTCATCAAATTTTTTAAACGGGATTTCAATTTTAAACTAACTTGAAAACTTTTGCCGTCGTTTTGATGACTTTACCGACAAGCTGAAGAAAAAAACAAATATTTTTTTTTTGATTCAATCGAACAAACTATTATTTCTGAAAACTCAAAAGAAATAGATAGTTTTAATACAAAAATGTCCAATTTGAAATCTGTTTTAAAATATTGGTCAGATTTTAATTTACCTGTACTGCAGGTAGATTTTAATTTTATCCTTTATGTATTTTTAACATATTTTCAACATATTTTAAGTAATTTTTAACGTATTTTGCTAGTTATAGCTGGTTTTAAAAATCTCTAAAAAATAGTAAAAAAATGAACTGCAACATCAGAACTCTATCGTTATTGTTTATATAAATTTAAGTAACTTAATTATATGTAACAAAAAAATACTTTCTGCTGATGAGTTTTTGCACAAATTGATTTTATTGCGCTTGATATAAATATTCAAATATATTTGATTACAAAAATTTAATGTTTTAAGAGATGAAGTTTTGAATTGTATTTTGAGTTTTTAACAGTTAGTTATTTTTTTTAACTATTGAAACTTCTTAATATTTTATTAATTTATCAGAATTCATTAATACTGTTACTGGTCTTAAACATTATTACTGCTAATGATCTTGTCAATTTTATCTGACACATTTTTATTAACATTAATGTAGATAATGTCTTTAAAATCGAATCTTTATTCACTTCTGCTGTATTTACTACAATATTAAATTTTTTTGTTAAGTTAAAAGCGTTTTTTTTATAATCTTTTGATTTTTGTTTCAAATTTTAAAGGCTGTTATAAGTAACTTTTTTAAAGAGTTGCTTAAGTTAAAAAATTGTTAATTAAAAAATTCCAGTAAAGTACCTTTTTTTATTGGAATGGCTGAAGCTTATTTAAAAATTTCAGGTTAAAATTACTAATGTGATATAAAAGTAGTGCTATGTTTAGGTGAAGATATAGATCTAAATCAATAAAAAAGTCAATAACATAGTATTTACAAGTTATAGAAGAACCTAAAATTTTACTAAGTTTTTTAATCTATTTCTAAATCAATAAAAGAGTCAATAACATAGTATTTACAAGTTATAGAAGAACCTAAAATTTTATTAAGTTTTTTAAGCATGTTTCTTGATTAAATTGAAGGTTTAAGAAAACTTGGGGATGTTGTTGGCGAATTCTTGCATAATATTGTTAATAAAAGCTCAATAACAGTAAGTAAACCCAATGGTATGTTTTTAGCCATACAGTTGAAGCAATAACATTCTGAACAGTCTCAAGAAAAATATTACAAGTAAGCAAATCTATTTAGTTGCATTTAGCATCAGTGATAGATTCACAATTTGGGCGTTGAGGGGGAATGTTGATATAAAAACTAAAAAAAATGATAAAGCTCTTTAATTTTACAAAAAGCCTCATAATAATTTTTTTTTAATTCTGGTGGGAGAAGGGGGAGGGGAGAGGAAAGGGTGCATACTCTCCATTCCCCTCCTGATCTGTAACTGCTTAGCATGAATCCATGAATTGCAGCAGTTGCCTAAAATGGCTATGTGGTTATATGTTAAATTTTCATAAAAAATATTGTAGGGTTTTTAAATTTCCATCACCTGAGAGACAGAATGTTATTATGTATAGTGTTTTAATTTGTGTTTATAATTAAGCACAGCTGCTGATGAAACAACAATTTATCTTTATTCAATTCTTAAGAGTGAATAAGGATAAATTGAATAAGATAAGAACATAATAAGAAAGTGGATATTAATCAAAGTGGATTTACATAAGAAACCAAAATTAATTATAACACTATATAGATTAATTGAATAGAAAGATTAAAAGAAACGGTTGTTTCTTATACGAGCTATCATCTCTTTTATAAAACAAATAAAGTAAATAATATTAATAACTAATAAAACACTAACAAGCGAAAACATCATAGACACAATATATTAAGCAAAATGTTAAATTAAGTATGAATAAAAATATTAAAAATGAATTTATAAATAATAAATAAAGTTTAAATAAACTAAGGTATATAAATAAACAATAAGTTCTGTCACGGTTGTTTCTTATACGAGCTATCATCTCTTGTTATATCAAATAAAACATAATTTTCCATGACTTGTCATTCAGAAAAGTTGCTGATAGCAATTTTCTTGATCCCTTTATTTCTTTATGTTATCTTTCAACTAGTGGTTGCTTACAGTCTTGTTAGGAGTATTTTTTTTTCTTTGTGTGTGTGTGTGTGTTTGTATTTTTTTTATTTGAAAGTTTGAATTGTCTGCATATATATATTTGCAATGAAAAAAAAACACTAGAAAACTGAAGTCTTTGGAATGAACAAACAAAAGTGTTTCTACCTGTGCATAACTTATAACTGCATAACTTATGGCGTGGTTTTGCATAATTTAATGAAACTGCATTGAAAATGCATAATTTAATGAAACTGCAATGAAACTGCATAATTTGAATATTGTATTATAATAAGTTTTTGGAAGAAAAATTTAAAAAGTTTAAAATAAAAGTTCAGACATTTTTTGAAAATTTTCAGATGTAAAAATGTAGTATAAAAGAACCATACTAAATAACAATATGTATATGTAAAGATTAAACTTTTAACAAGCGAGACAAGTTTTTTAGTCTCTTTAAAGCTCTTTAGCTATGATAAATGCTTATCTAGTAAAATTTACCAATAAAAATGCAGGTATGCATAGGAAGAACTTGTAAGTCTTTGAAGCAGTGATGTGACTATTAAAATAAAAATATTTATTCCCTATCTGCAAAATTCCTATATTAGTTTTACTTTAGAAAAGTCTTGATCAATCCGCAAATGAGATTGTAGAGCGGCAAGAAAATTCTGAAAAAGGAAAAAAGCTTCTTATCAAACTAACAAAAGAATGGAAAGCAAGTTCTTCAGAGGTTTTCTTTTTAATGTCTTTTTTTTTTTATATTTGTTTATACTTGTTTCTATTTTTATACTTTTTTAGTTTTAAAACATGAGCAATTTTGAGTTATGGGAGACTACATTTATTGTTTAAAATTTAATTTCATATACATTGGCAAAAAAAAAATAGATCCAACCATGCCTGGCTGGATCTATTTTTGTTGGTGTTGATAGAGTCTTTGTAGAAGAATAGTTCATTCACTCATGTTGTTACTGTGACAGTCCAATGGCTAAGTAAAAAGTTCCTTGAGCCTTTGCTCATCTTTGAGGATGTAGTTTCACTTTATTCAAAAATTTAATAACAAACATATATATTAATATCACATGTTACGAATCCTGTTAGATCTGGAATTGAATTTAAAAAAATATCATGATTTTGCCACCTGAATCACAACTCTTTAAACACTATATAAAATTGCTAATCTCCTTCATACTTGATAAATCTTTCAAGAAGTTTCTGAAAAAGAAAGCTGTTTTCAGGCACAGCTATATCAATGATTATTGAATACAGTTAAATAAAAAATTAAAGTAAAAATAATTGTAAAAAGATACCTCTGCAGTGTTTTTTTAGTTTCTAGTTATATAGTTTCTAAAAATATCTATAAACATGTATATATATATATATATATATATATATATATATATATATATATATATATATATATATATACATGTTTATATATACATGTATATATATATATATATATATATATATATATATATATATATGCATATATATATATATGCATATATATATATATATATATATATAATATATATATATATATATATATATATATATATATATATATATATATATATATATATATATATATATATATAAGTGATGTACCGATTAATTGGCATCAGCTGAATTGGCCACTTTTTGTACAATCGGAATTGGTATTGGCATCACGCTCTTTTACCGATTTTACCGATAACATGAAGATGTGACAGAATTCCGAAGGGTTGAAGTGCTGAAAAATAAGCTAGACAAATAAAAGTTTTTGGAGCATGAAGAGACAGATACAGTAAAAGAATGAACCCTAGGTCTAGGTAGGAATGAACCCTATTGCTTTTAAAGCAAGCGCTCTAATCACTGTACAGCAGGTGCTGAATAATCATTTTTTATGAACTAAAGTTATTATTTTTTAGCTTGTAATTAACCATAGTTTAAAGCTTAACATAGAACAAGTGAAGCCAAGTACATTTTAATTTATTAAAAAAGTATACCCTTACAAAAAATAATTTGCCTCAAAAAAAAAAAAAAATCTAAAAATTCAGTAATAATTAAAATTTAAGTTATGGAATCTTTACAACTCTTAATGTTTTTGAGCAAACATGAATGATTTTTTATTTTTTTATTTTTTACCTAATTCACAGGCTTGGTCGGGAAGCGGGAGCGATCGCTCTCGATTGCTGACCACGTAAATAATATTTAGTTGCGAAAAGCTGGCCAGATTGCTAGTCGTTTTGAGAACATTTTAAAAAGCAAAAAAAAAAAAGCGACGAAGATTAATTGGACCGATGAGAGACAATTACAAAAAAAATAAAAATGAGCGATGTTTTTTATATAAAGTAACAACTTACGATTGTTTAAAAGGGAAATAAATATTCTTTATTTAACTAAGTTTGCAAGTTTTAGTTTTACTTAAGCTAAATTATTTTATAAATAAATAAGTTAATTTTTTTAATACTTATTTTATGTTTTGCGAAGTTTGAAAAGTTTAACATATTTGAAGCGATTCTTCTTAGTAAGATAAACAAATGAAATAATTAAATCATTGAATTACTATAGGAATTAAATAATCAAGATAGAAATCAACTAAAAAGGTTAAAAATACTTAATGACGAGGAAGCGACTCTGCTTCACAATATCGCTGATGATGTTTAGTGAGTGGGCTTTTTAATTTTAATTAGTATTTAAAACAGAAAAAAGTATAACGAGTTTTAAGAATGGCAACTTAAGCGAAAATAATTAGAGTAAGTAAACCAATATCTAGAAACTTTTCTTTATATCTATTTATTTGCTATATATATTTGTGCTCTGTCGTGACCTCAGGCGCGATGCTTGTTCATCCGCGAGTTACTTTGTATGCGTTGTTTGTGTTTAGTAACCAAAAACTACTTATATGTTTGTTACATAATTAGTTTTATTAACTTTAACGATTATAACTTCATTGAAAACGCAATTATTTTTGTAAGTCTTTGTTTAAATCATAAAAATTGCATTAAAAGATACATTATGATAAAAAACAAATACACAAAATTACATTTACATAAAGAATACAATCTCTTTTAAAATAAGAATATACTAATAAAATCTATGATTTATAATAAACTTTTAAAATTTTAACTGTTTAATCAATATATATTTAAAACATTTATTTTCGTAAACAAATAATATATATTCTTAAAACCATGCTAGAAATCTCAAAACGTAACAAATCGTGTATAATACAATTTCTGAAACATTTTAACAAAATACTCTAGAACTTTACTTCGCTTAATCAGCGTATTTTTTGAACCAATAGAATTAGTTTGTTTGGGTTTTTAGTGTTCGCAAATATTCTTTTTATTCTTTCGCACAAAGATGTTTTAAGAACATTCAAGTTTTTTATGTTTCCATGTATGTCCGTAAAACAAAAATTTTTGTTTCGTACATAAACTTAAATGTTCTCAAAACGACTAAAAAACCTGGCCAGTTTTACGCAACTAAATATAATTTCCGTGGTCAGTATTTGAGAGCGATCGCTCCCGCTTCCCGACCAAGCCTGAATTCATGTTCCCAAAGTTGAGTGGGCCACTTTAGTTGCGGAATCTACTTCTTATATTGGTTACAACCTTCTCTTAACTCTGAAAGAGGATTGTAATCAATAAAAACAGGTTGATATACATATAATATATTTTATAATTCTTCTTTTTTAAATTAAAAAAAACTTTATAGCTTTCGATTTTAACTGAAAGTTAAATGAAATTTTGAAATTGTTACCTAATTTAACTGAATACTGAATTTACTATTTCAACTTCGGCTCCGAAGCGAAAGTCAACTTTGCCTTTCAGTAAATGATTTAATTAATGTCCCAGTTAATGATTTGTTATTTGTGATGAGTTAGAGAATAAAATCAGGAGTAAAAAAATGGCAAAAACAATAAAGAAAGGCCTGTATATATTATTTGCATTAAAGATCAGTAATAAATGGTATTCCACAAAGATATATAATAGATGGCTCAGTAAGGATGTTGCCATTCATAAATTTTTATTCAATTCATCACCAACAAGATCATCAACATCAATTCATCACCAACAAGAAAAATCAACAATATTGCAAATAGTGCAAATAGTGATATTGTAATAAGAATCTTATAACAGTCACCTGTAGAACGAGAGGTATGGAGAAGAGAAATATGTGCTGATTGTTAAATAGTAAGTCGTTTAACTCAAGATATTTGTTACTTGTAGAATCAAAGACCATGCTAATTATAGAGAGAAGACTGGGTAATAGTTATAAGGATTAGATGTCTTTATAGTCAGATGAGAATAGCTGTGACTTATTCTTATATATAAAAATAATAAGATCTATATAAAAGTAATAAGATCAGAACCATGTATTAGAGGTGAATGATAGACTTGCTAATGACACTGTTAAAGATTTTCCAAAAGTCTCTAGAACCTTATTTCTGGGATGAAATACAAGATTTGGAAATTTAAGTTTTCCAAACCTTGTGAACAATAGTGAAAAGCTAAATCAAAAGTAGTGTTCAACATAACCTCAATGATTTAATACGGATAAATGGATAGATAGAGATAGATGTGTAACAAAAAATTTTAATAATAGATATGAGACATGGGCAGTTATCTCAATAAAGGAGTTTAGGAATTATGGAGGTTTGGGAGAAACAAATCTGGTAAAGAGCAGCAGGGAATTAAAATTTTACCAGAAAAATTTTAATAAAAATAAAAATATAAAGTTTAGAAGAAACTATATTAAAGTTTAAAATTTATAAAAAATTTACATAATTTTTATAACATAATGTAGTATATACTTAGCTATATGATTTATATAGCAGTATATGTTTATTGATATTTATATATTATATTCATACAGTATTATGCATATTAAAAAAATTTCTTCAGGAAGTTCGATCGAAAGCTTCACCTGTCATTAAAGCATTTCAAAAAGAGGTAAAATTTAATTTCACATCAAAAAAAAATTGCGTGGCATGCTTGAGGTGTGTTGTCATGAAATGGTATGCTTGAGGTGTGTTGTATCATGTGTGAGGTGTATCATGATATTTGTTTTTTTTTTTTTCAGATAGATTCATTAAATAGTAGAAGTAAAGCTGCAGAAAGTTCGTTTCTACTTTTATATAAAAATCTTCTTGAGATTCCTGGTAAGTTTAAATTATTTTTAAGTTGAAATTATTTGTGTTGTTATGACAATTTTATGATATACCGACTTATAATAATAATATAATAATATAATAATAGTGAAAAAATTATGCTATCATTAACAACTTTATATAAGTCATCTGAAAAAAAAATTAAAGTCATTTTTTAATATTTTAAAGATTTATAAAGGCATAATTAAAAAATAGTTAAAGATAATTTTAAAATTTAATTCTTAATTATTATTATTTTTATTATTATAATTTTTATTATTATTATTACATATATGCACACATACACACACACAAATATATGGTGTAACTAATTGAATTAAGATAATTCATAGAATTTCATTCTATAACACCTTTTACTAACCAAAGTATAAAATTTTTATTTTCTTTTTATGAAATTAAATTATATAGTTTTATAATGTTGATTGTTTCTTTTGTTTAAACATCTTGTTCTAAACGAGTTGATTGAACTTGAATTTATTGTATCTTGAGGCAAAGTGTTGCAACAATTTGATATTCTGTTTGTGAAGAAGTTGTGTCTGATTGTTTTATTCTTTAAGCCTTTGTTCAATATATATTTTTTAATTCTCATATTATGTCTTCTTGTAGTTGTTACAATATGATTGATAGGGTTAACTTTATTTAATTAAATCCTTTGGATATTTCAAACATTTGAATAAGATCTAATCTTTCATTTCAATCATTTCTAAAAGAGTTTCATATTACTGCACAATATTCAAGATGAGGTCAGACTAATATTTTATATGAAAGTTTTGCTGATATTTAAAATAGTGTTTAATCAATTCAAGTTGTTTATTTGCTTTATTTGTCATGTTGTTAATGTTCCCTTATTTACTTAATTTAATTTAAAGCTGTTAGACTGCTATTAGAAGTTTGTTTATTGAAGGTTCACTGTTATTAAAATCAATGACTGATTAGGCAATAGAGGGGTTGGTGTGTTTTTCCGAGTTTTTAAAATTGGAACTATTTTCCAGAAGGCTGCTATTTTCCAGAAGGCTTAAAAGAAAAGTTTAGTTAAGCACTTAATAAAAGGTTTAGAAAGTATTGAAAACAGTTTTAGAGAACACTTTTGTAGCACACTTTTGTAGCACACTAGTGCTACAAAAGTGTGCTACAAAACTAGTTTAAGTATTATAGTAATTTAGTTGTCTGAATCACAAGCAGTAGAAGAGACATATAAATTTAGCCACCATTTAGGAATCATTTATTTGTGTGATTTGGATGATACCTCAATGACTACGAATATCTGTAAAGGATAGATTGAAACAATGTGATAATGATTTTTATTGATATTTTATGTAATTTTTAATGTTTTTAACAGTCACACAAATTTTTCTCAATTATAGATAGTGTAATAAAGGGTTTTTTACTTGGCCTTCACAAAGTATTAAGAGGGACACATTCCATGTGCAACATGGCACTGTTAAAACTCTATTAAAAAGTTAGCAAAGCTAAAACTCTGTTTTCCCTTTTTTTTCTTTATTTGTGTCTTGGGTCTGAATCTGGGTCACTCTTTTACTCTTTTTTCTATTCCAGTAGTTCAGTATAAAACAATAGTAATACCTATGTCAACGATAATACTCTTTTTGTCTTGTTCTAAAAAAAACAACTCAACCTATTTTTAGACTTCCTAATCAACTTTCCTTTAAAAAGTCATGTGCATTTAGGCTCTTTTAGAGCTTGTGGTTGCAATGATTCCTATCAGAGTCTTACAATAGTGTTTTCCAGAAGTCTCTTCAATACCCTCTAAATTTTTCAACACTTAACTGTTAATTATTAATGCTGGAATGTTGGAAAATGGCATTTTTGGTTCCTTATCGTAAAAACAGGATTTTCACACTCTAATATTTGATAAATCAGTCTTTTAACTACTATAAGCAAAGTTTTAATTATCAAACCTATATCTAATTTTAAATACAACAGCGTAATCTCTGAGAATCAATTTTGATTCTCTTGTTCTACTTAATGATGTGTTCCATGGTTCATGAAGGTTGGAAAAAAAAAAAAATTGTATAGTAAATGAAAATGGTGGAGAAAAAATTGTAGTACATATGCAATATTCTCCACATTGAAGATGATGATAAAGTTACAGGAGTAACTTCATCATCATCTTCAATGTGGAGAGCATTGCATATCTACTAATTAGTTTTATAATTATCATTAGATTATTGGTAATTGCATGTTGCTCTCTATTAAATTAAGAATTTTTTTAGACCCTGTTCCTGTTTTGAAACAAGCAGAATCTATGAAAAAACAATTAGATAAAGCAAAGGTAATTATCTTAATATACAATTGATTATATACTTGATGATGACTATTTTTTTAGAGCTTTCAAACATTTAAAAGTTTTAATAAATTATTTTTTTATTACAGTGATGCAACTATTTTTTCTTTATATTATCATAAATTTATTGTTACTGTTACCTACTGTTACTAAGAAACACTTACTGTTACTAAGAAACACTGTTACTTTAGCAATTTATTATAGTAAGTTTGTGATTGTTTGTAATGCTAATGTAGTGATATATTTATTTTTTATTTTTGTTATAAGATTTATTAAAATTTTTTGTGTTTTGTTAATTTAGCTATATAGTTTGTTAAGGAAATAAGTTATATTTAATATAACTTATTAAACAAATATAACTGTTCTAATACATACTTTTGTATAACTAATGTTTCCTGTGTGCATACCAGTTATGTATGTGTCCTTAGTGCACATTAGTTACATATTTGTAAGTCTCTATATCAACAAAAATGTCATAGTGTAATTTTTTAGGATGTTTTTATCTTTTATTTTTCAGTGAATTTTTAAAAAATTATTTTTAGGATTTAGAGCTTGAAAATCAACAGTTAAGAACAACTTTAGAAGAATACAATACTGAGTTTGCTGATGTAAAAAATCAAGGTTTTATTTTATTTTAATAAGAAGCATTGTTTTTGACAACATAATGCCCATGTTATTGACGTTAATATTAAATGTTTGAGTTGTTAAGATTGGTATTAAATGTTGGTATAAATTAGAATAAGGAACTATGTAATAAAAGTTTAAACAAACAAAGAAAGTTAAGTATATGAAGGACTTAAATTATTTCTGTATTCAAGGTACAAAGAAACCATTTTAATGGTTTTAATCTTGATTAAAATCAAGATTTTAATAAAATAAAATCAAAATTCAAACAATATTTAAACTTAAAGTCTTCTTTATATTTTTATAGAAATAACACTAAATAAGCTGAAAGAGAAATTGAAAAAATATGAGGAACAGACAGATGAAAAATTGAAGGTATAAAAAAAAATACTTTTTATTGTGAAATATTTTCTTTGGTTTTTGTTTCACAAATGTCGTATGATTCTTGGACTTATCTGAAGGCCTATTAATTATAGTCGTTATGTCTATATATATATATATATATATATATATATATATATATATATATATATATATATATATATATATATATATATATATATATATATATATATATATATATATATATATATATATATATATATATATATATATATATATATATAGAGAGAGAGAGAGAGAGAGAGAGACAAAAACACAATAAGTAACAAGTACTCAATGAAGTCTTAAAATAGAAAGATTATAAATGTTTCATAAAGGTTGACAGAAAGTTTTAAAATGCATAAATATAAAATTTTTAATTTATTAGTCTACTAGTACTAATATATTTATTTTGCTTTATTTTTTTTTTTTTAAAAGAGAGATAAATAGTTGTTTGTATTTGATAACTTTATTTAAAATGTATTTTAATTATAATTTAGGCTTTACTTGATGAAAAAGAAAAAGCTCTCCAAATATCATACAATGAGCGGGAACAGTAAGTTTTTTTTATTAGAGGGAACGAATAGAAAGTGGTTTTTTAAAAGATTTTACAAGCAACTAGTACGAAATAATTTATGTTATTAAATATAATATTTAAATTAATTCAAAAATATATTAAGTAAGACTTAATATATAAATACTAAATAATAAATAATAAAAAATACTTATCTATCTAAAATGTTCTAATATATATATTTTTTCTTTTTTTTTAAATGTTATTCATTTCCTTAAAGCCAAGCAATAAAGTCTCCTCACTACAGTTGAGGAGACTTTATTGTGGTTACAACTCTCTTTAAACTCTTTAAATCTGAAACATGAGTTTTGAAAAACTGTACAGAGAAACAAATTGAATCTATTTGAATAACAATAAAAAAAGTGATTAAAAGTATAAGTTTTTGTGTATGAACTGAGTGCTCTATCACTACCATGTTTAATAATTTAATTAAGGTTTAATGTTATTTAATTAAGTATGAAGTATGAACTGAGTGCTCTATTGCTACCATGTTTAGTAAGTGGTATTTAATAAAATTATATTTAATAACGTTTAATAAAATGACATTTAATAATGTGATGTTTATTAAAATGATATTTAATAAAGTGATGTTTAATAAAATGACATTTAATAGTGTGGTGTTTTATAAAGTTGTGTTAAATAAAGTGGTATTTTACAAATTGGCATTTAATTAAGTTACATTTGATATATATGTATATCAAAAAAACTGCTTGTGTCACACATCTCTATATAATGTTTTATAATTATATAATTTTTATTTTTGTTGTTATTTTATATTTGAAATAGTAATGGTTAAATTCAATGTGGAAGCACATTAAATACAAAAAATTAAGAAGAGAGTTAAGAAAAAATAAGTACTCTTTACTTTTTTATTAATATGTTTTTTATAAATATTTTTATGATTGAATTAGGAAATTGCTTGATTCAAAACTTTTACTGGCTACAAAGTTGGGAGATTCAGAAGCTAAGATAAAAACTTTAAAAGAAGGTAACTGATGTTTTTTTAAACTATTGTTCTAAACTAAAATATATTGAATTTTAATTTTAAAAAGTGTCTTGTATGCAATTTTTTTTAATGATTGAAATTTAAGTACAAAAGATACAAAAAAAAAAAAAAAAACCATTTAAATTTAAAAACCATTAAAAATTTTAAAACATATCTGGAAAAAATTAGTTTTTATAAAAAAATGATTTTCATTTTTTTAATATAATTTTGCTTATTTTTTAACCAGGTTGACATACTTTATAAGAACTTTTTTTTTCAAAATATTAAGGACCCGTCAAATTTTTAAGGGTCTTGAGCTACCCCTAAAAGTATTTTTTTGTTAAAAAAAATTTTAAGCCTAGTGTTTTAGTATTATATAGAGCAAATTAAAGAGGTAAGAGCAGGTTTTTTTCAAAAATGTTGTTTTAAAAGCCACCCTATTGAGGAGGCTACTTTTGTTGTGGATACAACCCTCTCTCAACTCTATAACTCTGAAACACAAACCTTGACAAACAAGGCTGCTTCATGGAGAAGCAAGTTGAGCGTGGTTCTACCAGGGACATGGTGGGGATTGAATTGGGAACTTCTCGCTTATGAGGCAAGCGCTCTACCATTACACCACTACCACAAGTTATTAAATTTGAAGAAAAAAGTGTGTTGCAAACTTGGAAACCACTAACAACTCTCTCTTTTACTCTTTCTCTCTCTATCGGATGCGCTTTTTTTATATTAATTATTATTTTTAATAAAATGTTTTGGTTTTTTATACTTTTTATACTAACAGTTATTATAAGTTAACAATATTTTTTATACTAATAGTTATTATAAGTTAATATTTGTTTAAAAATAAAGTAATGCTTGCTTGATCTTGTAGAGTTGGAAAAAACTCAAGGTGAAATATTTGAATTAAAATCGCGACACGATGAAGAAATCACAGCCAGGTTTTAACTTTCTTTAAAAAATTTGTATTAGTCTGAAATTTTTTTTCTTCTAGTATTTATTAGTTTTTGTTTATTTATATTATTTTTATATTTTTTTTAAGTTTATTTTTGGTCTTTTTTTTTTCTCTGGCTTATTTTTTTGTCTCGTTTTTATTTTTTCAGTTTTAAAACAATTTTAGTTCTAGTTTTATTTTGAAATACAAATAATTTCCTAATCTTTTTGAAATAAAAATCTTAGTTCTTAGTTTTTTTGAAATATAAACTACTCAATGTCAGAAAGAACACTAAAATTAAAGGAAACAAAATGAAGTAATTGTTTTGGTGATCAAGCATTTTCCCACTAAAACTTTGGTCCTAAACTTTGGAATATTCTTCCAAATATCATCCATAACAAAAAAAAAAAATACAACTAAAAATTTTGAATTTTCCAAAATCTGTATGGAGTACTAAATAGATTGGTAATACTCTTTTAACCCATTTACTCTTTTAAGCTATTCACAGTTTATGTTAATAAAATATTAATATTAACATTTAAAAAATATTCAATTGTATTAGACAAATGATATTAGTTAATAATAAATAATAATAAATAATAAAAATAAATAAAAAATATTTAAATTGAAAAGTAATTTGTTTAAATAATTTATAAACTTAAAATGCATAGAAATAAAAATATTTATGTTATGAAAATTTTTAATTTTTTTTTATATGCTCATTTGATTTGTTTTATTCTCAAATTATGGTGTATATATCAATCTTAGCACAGAGAATTTATTTGTTAGAACAAATTTATAAAGTTATTAAAAGATAACAATTGTATTTAGAATTTCAGAAATGGAAATTCTTGAGTCAGATTTAGAAAGAGCAAATCAGGTATGTTGTTTATATATAAATTAGGTATGTTGTTTATGCATGTATTAATAAAACTAATAATATTTAATCAAAAAAACAGTTTGACATCATAAAAGTATAAGTATGAAGTGATAATGTTGATCAGAAAATCAACAATATATGATTATTGACAGTCGAGAATTAGGTTCGGATTATACAATTAAATATAGTTATGGAGTTATTAAAATGAAAACATTTTAATTTTAGTTTTTTTTGTAAAGTTCTAAAATTTAAACTTTTCAAAGTTTTAAACATTCTTTTTAAAATTTATTTTTTCTTTAATTTTTGCTTTAAATATTATTTTAAAGTATAGAAAAGAATAACTAAAACAAAGAAAGATTATATTTTCTTGTAAAATAAGTTTATATTTATATTTTTATTTAATGATGATATTTGGCTATAATAAATTAAAAATGATTTTGGGTTTGAAAAAAGAAAAAAAAAAGAGATTTTTGGTAAATTCAAAAAATTATTTCTTTAAACAATAAAAGCAAAAAAAGGTCAGAGCAGGTATTTTTTATTACACATGTGCAGAAGTTAAGATTTTCAATACACAAATTTTAATTTTTATTTTAAAATACAGCATTTAAATATCTTTTTTTTTTTCTCCTAACTTTGTTCTTGTAAATAAACAATATCTTTTTAGTTTAAAATTTTACATTTTGTTTTTTTATTTTAGCAACTTCTTGCTGCTGAGAAGTTCTCAGAAAACTTCAAATCCTTATTTAATCAAGATACTAAAGATGCTGTAAGTTTTTTTTATTAAGAGTGGTTTCAATTTACCTTAAGTGTTCCAATTACTTAAGTAATTGTTTAAACTTAATTTAAAATTGTTTTCCAGTAAGTTGTAAAAGTAATTTGTTCAAGTTATTTGTTCCAGTAATATGTTCTAGTAAAATGTTCCAGTAATACATTCCAGTAATATGTTCCAGTACTATGTTCCAGTTATATGTTCCAGTAATAAATTCTAGTAATATGTTCTAGTAATATGTTCCAGTAATATGTTCTAGTAATATGTTCCAGTAATATGTTTCAGTAATAAGTTCCAGTAATATGTTCCAATAATAAGTTTCAGTAATATGTTCCAGTAATATGTTTCAGTAATATGTTCCAGTAATATGTTCCAATTTATAAGGTCATCATCATGATCACTCTGCTACTAATAACATGTAATTCAGTACAATCTGCTTATACCCTACTTGTAGGATTTTTCTTGGCAAAGGTGAGAAGTTAGCTCTGACTTAAAATACCCATGTCCTTAGGGCTCTTGATTGACTAAAGTCTAGAGATGATGTCTTGATTAAAATACGCATCTTGGAAAAATGTTAATTGCATCCAGCTACTGTGATATAGAAGACCTCCTAGGCAAAGACTCTAGTGGGGATTGTTGAGACTAAAAAAGGAGCACTTTGTTATGATTTTAAGTTGAGTAGCAGGAACAAACAGTATAACTTATTTCTTAGGGTGTATGTAGGGTGTATTAGGGTGTCATTCACTATTTATAATTGAGTTAAGTTCTTTTTATTTTGTTCTTTATTGTTTTATTACTTTCGAAGAGCACTTTTTTTGATGAGAAACAACAAAAAGTGCTCTTGGAAATCATTTGTTTTCTCGACGCAGCGGCCTTGATAAACAAGGTCGCTGCGTCAAGAAACAAGTTGAGTTCAGACTACCATAAATGTGGTGGGGATTGAACTCGGAACCTTTCACTTATGAAGTGAATGCTCTGCCACTACACCACTACCACATTTATGCAGTATTTGATGTATTTTAAGAAGTTGATTATGATGATGATATTGAAACCAACTTTTAAAATTTTGTCAATCAGAAGCTTAAAGAAGGAACTATGTAAGCTTAAAGAAGGAACTATGTAAGCTTAAAGAAGGAACTATGTAAGCTTAAAGAAGGAACTATGTAAGCTTAAAGAAGGAACTATGTAAGCTTAAAGAAGGAACTATGTAAGCTTAAAGAAGGAACTATGTAAGCTTGATGTGATTAAAATCATGATTTTAATGATTGTATGATTGAAAAGGTTTTTAACCTGTAATAATTTATGGTTTTTATAAAAAATTGAACAGTCAGGAAAATATTTTAATGCATTTGAAATGAAACTAATAAGAATATTAATATTTAGATTATTCAGAAGTTATTTCAATTATTGTATTTTCATTGGATTATTGATATTATAATTAGAAAGTAACAGAATGTACACTTATAAGGTATGGGAAAGATACGTTTGTTTGTTAGAGATATTAACACTTAAGAGGTATTATTCTATTTGGTGCTGGAAAAACTTGTGAATTATTTATCAAGTTAAATTTTAAATTATGAATTAAAAAATTGTTTCACAATGTTGTTTTTTTTAAGTTTTTTAAACCTATTTCAAAAATGATCTTCATGATATTAAAATTATAAAAAAGTAATAAAATTATGGAAAAAACTAATGTTAATGAATTGTAGTCCATAAATAAGTTCAAAGCTTAAGTATTTATTTACTTTGAATTTGTCACAATATTGATGACTATTATTCTTTGATTTGCTTTATTAGCTCGGAAGTCAAAAATTTAATTATTAAATTAAATTAAATTTAATTATTTAATGAAAGATCTACTGAAAGATTAAAAATGTAAAATTTTAATCCTCCTATTTCCTTATTATCTACTATTTCTTTATTTTGTATGTTAAAAAGAAAGTTTAGTTTAGATAACTTTGATATTTAATCTCATTTTCAGTATATATAGTTTTGATTGCCCTTTTTTTATGGTAGTTAATGCTAATTTTGTTACAATAAATATTTTTGTTTTTAGATTTTTTGCTTAAATGTACTTTTATTAAAAGGATATAAATATAACATAAAACAAAAATAATTTAATTTACATGTAATCAAATGAATTCGAGTAATAGTTTGTTTTTTTTTTATAATTTTTCTTTTTCTTCTTTATCTTTTTCCTTCTTCCCATTTTCCATGGCTGCACTTTTTTTCTGTTTATTTCTGATCAAATTGACTGAGACTGAGTCCTTTCAATATTGTTGTTATTGGTAACTTTAATACACACAGTTCTAGTTGGCACTAAAGCTAAAAAAACTTTTCCTTATTTACTTGTCCAGATAGTTAGCATTCTGACTCATTTTCCACACCACCAAACTTGCTTAACTTTTGCTTGCTTAACTTTGCTCCTTGATTTGTTTCTTTAGTTCTAGATTGTGTTTAGTTTCTCTTTGCTTCTATTCAGGTGAATTAGATTTATAATTTCACTAAAACTTTATCCTTTTTAATTTTTTCTACATCAGATTTGCCCTATTAGTATTTCTTCTACATCAGGTTTGGTCTTTTTTTCATTATACTTTTTACTATTACCTTAAGGACCTTTTACTATTACCTTAAGTTAAGGTTGATTGGAATTTTTAAATTTTTTTATAGTCTTTAAATTGATTTCTTTCATCTCTGCTAATAATTGTATCCTCTAAACAACATTTTGGATTAAAGCAAATATGGAAGCTTTTATTTCTTGTAAGTTTTGAGTCATTGCTTTGTTCGCCTGTTCTATGCTTTTTTCTAGAGATGTACCGAAGCTTCGGTTCGGCCGAAGCCAGGTCAATTTTTTGCCGAATTTTTTGGCTTCGGCAAAAAATTTTAAGTAATTAAAGTTATAAGCTACTGTTGTACAAGTTATAAAAATATGCTAATTGCCAGTGTCTAATTAAGTTGTAAATTCAGGACTACAGAGTTAAAGTTGGAGTCTATACCATATACTTAGTATTACTTACTCCCAAATGTCTTGTTATGGAGGGGATGATAATAAATAAGCAGAAATATTTTGAATATAATAGTAAAATTAAGGAAGGTCCTCATACACTTTGAAGGCTTCCAAGTGTGACTTAGATGAACTGAATCAGCATTTTTATGCAGAATAAAAACCTTATAATTTAAAACAAATTAAAACTTTTTACAAATAAAATGGAAAAAAAACCTTAATTTGTATTATGTAACGAATTTATATTAATTTTTATGTAGGATTACCGCAAATAGAACTAAAAATGGTTTCAACATTTGACCTATAAACCTTAGTAATCTCACTTTAAAGAAGATTAAAGATACGTTGCTACTATTTTAAATTCTGTGTATGTTTAATTTTTTTAAATTTTATTTAACCATAATAATAAAAATTTACAAATTTTCATCGTAAGATTACAGAAATTGGTTAGGTGTCACTTATGATATGAAGAATTTTAAATTTTATTTAAAATAAATTAAAGGTTAAAGCTTTGATTACTTTGAGCTCTTATATTTATCATCAAAATTTATTTAAATTAAATAAATTATTTAAATTAAATCAAATAAATATCAGCCTGCTCAGTCCCTGTTTATTTATAAATATAAAATAAATAATAATATAATTATAAATAAAAAATTTATAAAGTATTCTATTTATTATTTTATTTAAAGCTCACTCTACTGAGTTATTAGATTACTATAGAAGTTTTTGTCACAGATAGTTAATATTTGATTTCAGATACTGATGCAGATTTATCCATTACAGAGACAGAAGAAGAATGAATACTATAATTTCAGAGTGTAAAAGATTAATAGAAGCTTAAGAAAATGTTATGTAGTGTAAAATTAAAAATAATAAAAAAACAACAACAACAACTTAAAAGTGTGTAAAAAAGAAGTTAGAGAGAAATCTATCAATTGTACTTTTTTTAGCAGCAGGTTCACAACAGTTGATCAAGTTAAGCTCTTTTTTAGCAGCAGGTTTACAACTAGATCAGCTAAGAGTGTTTATTTAGAGAAAGAGTGTAAAAGATTAATTTACTTGAGTAATATTCAGAGATTTTTATCCACTCTTAACAAAAGGTGCATTAAAAATAAAAATAAAATATACAGCACATGAAAAGATGCGTAACAGTAATTTATAGGGAATGAAATTTGAGAATGTTCAGCTAGCACACTATAATTAGATAGAGCAACCAAGATGATTAAATAGAGGATTAAAAATTAGATGATTAGATAGAGGATTAAAGAGAAACGATGTTTACATAGAAGAACAGTATGGCTATAAAAGATCAAAAAAATAGCAATAATCTTAGAAGAATATTTGGAATAGTTGGAAATATATGTGAGTTACTGAAATTGTGCACTATATAACATTAATATGGTTTGCACACAGAAAAAGTAAAACTAGAAGTAGGAAAATTTGGGGAGAATGTTTCAAAAAAGCTTAAGTTTTAAAAAAAACACTAGGTGTGGTGAAGTATCAGAATCGACATAATGAGAAACTTTCAAACAGGGGCGCTGAGAGCTTTTGCCCTGCCTGGGGCAGCAACCCTGACTTGTGTCCTCATTTTTATACATTTTTTCTATATTATTAGTCAAGGATCTTAGTTTTGGAACCTTTTTTGTTTTACACCCTTGCTGATCTGAATGCTGATTAAATTTTAAGCATATATAGTGCCGAAGCTACTAAGGTTCATTATTTGCACTCCATTATTCTCATATTTTATATCAGAAGTTTTATAACTTTTAAAAATCATCAATGTTAATTAGGTTTTAAAGACATTTAAAAATTATCATAAAATATAAGTTAAGGATCCCATTATCTATGCATGGTTTTGATTATATTTCCAAGTTGCTTAAAAAATGTTTTTTGATTTTTCTGTAGGCTGATGGTCTAGGACAACAAAATGAGGTATTTAATGAAATTTTTATTAATTAAATATTCATTATTCTTTACTTGATTCCTTTTTTTCTCTCACAAGATATTATTTAAAACAAGCTATTAAATAAAATTAAATTAAAACAATTATATGTATTAAATTATAGATATATAAATATATAAACTAAAATATATAAGATGTGCAGATATATAAAATCTATATGAAATATACAAATTAAAGTTGTTATTAGAATAATTGATACTTTAAAAAAACTATGGTTATTTAGAAATATAAAACTTTGTATCTTGGAACAAAGATAATAAAATAAAAAAATATTGAAAAATAAAGTTAAATCACAATCAGTGGTAAAAAGTACAAAAATAATTATTAAGTAAAAAAATAATTAAATTAATTATTGTTCATCTACAGAAAATACCAAGAAGGAATGAAAATTTTTTTAAAATGTCAGGATAATTGTTAAATTTAATCTTTTTATATATAGATTTCTATATATAGCTAATATTAGTTTTTTTTTAAAATAAAAAAAATGTCAAGACTTATAAAGTATAACTTATTGTTCTTATGATTTTTATTTGAGTATTGTGCATTTTATAGAATATTATTTATCAATGAGACTAACGTAAATATGATTTTTATATGAGTGTTATATAGATTTTTTAGTATTTTATATGTAAATTTTTTTTTCTATTCTTTTTGCAAGAGTGTTGACACAAGTATATTTTTGTGTAGGAGAGTTGTACAAAAGCTCATTTTTACATTGACATAAAAATAAGGATGTTAGTCATATATTTTTTTACTCTTTTTTTATTTTTATTTAAACAATGTAAACAATTGTTTTAGTTTTGTCTGATTTATTACTGTGAAAATTTTATTTTCTTTTCAAAATAATGTAGATAAAATAATTTCAGATTTCAATATATAACAATATTAACAGTGATGTTGGCAGTAGGTATTTGATGAATAGCTAAATTTTTTATTATAAAGTATTGACAATTATGTTGATATAATCGAACTTGCTAAATTGGATAAAAAGATAGTCTTGTTGTACTATTATTTGCATTTTGATAATAAAGCTGTTTAAATGTTGTTATGTCTGTACCAGTTTATTCCTTTTTAAAAAATGCTAAAGAAATGTAAGGATGCAAAAATAATACAGTTGACAGTGGTATCAGCTATCAAAATGGTAATTTTGTTATAGAATTAAAATTAAACTGTTTGAGTGTTGCTGTTGGCTATTGTGAAAACTACCAATTATGAATACAGTAGAACTATGTCATTTGAAAAAGAATGTCCTAATATAAGCAATAAATATTGCCACACGTATTATAATATCATAACAGGTGTTATAAATACCACACTCTATTTAAAGCATAAAATGTTATAACCTCAAATTTTTGTACATTAGGACTATGTAAAAAAGAAAAAAACATTTTTTTTTAACATTACTAACATTAATATAAGAAGTTATTTTTTTGTTATTAAAGTGTTTTAACAAAACCTAATAAAACCTAAATAATATTATTTAAAAACTCAATTTAAATTTCTAAGTTTTAATTAAACTTCCTAAAAAAAGTTTTTTTTGAACTTAACAGATTAAAAAGGCACCTAACAGGTTAAAAAACTCTGAAAAAAATTTTTTAAGAGTTTTTTTAAAAAAAGTCATTAAGTTGTAAATTTCCTATACATAAAACACAATGGCATTAAAAATAATGAGGTTTTTTGTTAATATCTTAATAAGTTATTTAAATTGGTAAATTAAATTTTTTTTTTAAAGGTTTATTGAAAATGTGAGCATAACTTGTCTTAGCACTTAGGGATCTCTTTAAAAATAAAAAGGCAGAAAAAACAGCCCTGAGTTTTTATGTCCTAGAAAAACCTTTGTCTTATCTTTAGAACAACATGATCTAATGCAGTTTTTATAAAATTTACTTTTTTGTAGCACTCAATAGTTTTATTTTTTATAACATGCTAATTTAATTATTAACATATTATTGACTTTTCCTGAAATAGTTGGTTAATAGTTATTAACCCCTAATACAATTTAAGTCCAAGTGAATTATATTTAACACATTAAAAAACAATTTTGGTATACTCATACATACATAAATACATAAATACATACATAAATACATAAATACATAAATACATAAATACATAAATACATAAATACATACATACATACATACATACATACATACATACATACATACATACATACATACATACATACATACATACATACATACATACATACATACATACATACATACATACATACATACATACATACATACATACATACATAGCTATATACTTATATGAGGTACTTAGCTTTAATTTAGAGTCTTGAAAAAATTACCTTTATTTGAATTGTCAAAAAAAAAATTATTTGTGAAAATGTATTGTGAACATATATTTTGGCAGCTGAATATAATTTTTTAAAGAGGTTTAAACTGGTACAGAAATAGCAACATTTAAACAGTTTATTTATTAAAATGCAAAATACATAAAATACAAGACACGTATCAAAAATAATTTGATAAAATACATTAAAGTACTCATTGACAGAATTGTATAATATGAAAATTACTTTTTAATTTAATTATTTATTTCATTTTATTTATTTTATTAGTTTTTCAAAGCTCAAATTAAAACTCATTTCAACATATTTTATATTTATTGTGAAACATATTTTTCTGTTAATTTTTTACTTTATGTCACAAGTTTTTTTTATTAAAAAACAGAAAACAAATTGTCTGCTGCAGTTATTTGTATTCTATTTGAAAATAAGTGTCCCAGAATTCTGGGAGTAGAAAAAATAAAATAATGAAAACTAAAATTATTTAATAATAGTTATAAATTATTAATAAATTATTAATAATATTAAAAAAATATTAATAATAATAATTAATAAATTATTTAATGATAGTTTGTCTTATATGATATAGAGAGGCTCTTAGGTTTTTTAAATCTTATTAATTTTAAAAAGGATTACACAATGTTTTATGATGTTTTATGTGGTTAGTTAATGTTGTGGCAGATGTAACAGTACTGTTGCTTTATTTTTTATCTTAAAGTCACAGTAGTAAAGTCTGATTGGTTCATTTAAAGTCACGGTAGCAAATATGTTCGTTTGATTTAAAAGTTCTATTTATGACTGCGGTGATTAGTGTTTGAAACATTTGTTAGGAAGTTAATATTATGTACTTTTTTTCAACTATTATTGTTGTTTATTGATAGTTGTTTTACTATTTATTATTCACATAGATGGGCTGATATGGGATAGACACAGTGAGTGCACATATGTTGACTGATGTAGGGAGTAGCGCATTGGAGCGCACCTACGTTGATTAAGGGTTTAGGTTTAGGCAGTTTTTGATTTAGGTTTTAAGTAATAGTTACACAAGTTACAGCATAGATTTAAATTTATTGGATTAACTAATAAGTTTTTTTTTTTAAGGTTCAATATGAAAGCATGCGTGCAATGGAGTTTCAACTTTTATCAAAAGAAAGAGAGGTAAAAATATGCAATGAAAAAATAAGTATTTAATTTTTGTTTATGCTCTTCGATCAAAACTTTAATTAAAAATAACGATTATAATGTGATTGTGATTAGAAATTAAAACTCTTATCTAATTTCAATGCTACATTATTAGTAAATTAGTTTAGTAGATGTATATACTGAAGCCCATGTCTAAAAATAAATATATGAGGGTCAAGGACATAAAAGCATAAAATGTAGATAAGAAAATATATTTTCTATTAGATATGTATATATACATATTATATTTAATTATATTTATATTTATATAAATATAATAATAATAATAATTATAGTTTTATTGATTTTTATAGCTATCTGATTTGATGGAGGAAATTCATCATCAACAAAGTGTAGCTGATAAATTTAAAAGAACAGTGGAAAGAGAAGTTTGTAACTAATATTTATTTTGTAAAAATTTATTTTTAAACATGGAGGCAGTTCAAAAAGTATATAACTTGACGAAAGGTATGCTGAAATGTCACCTGATGACACTGATCTTCAGATATTAGCATTGAAGATTATGTAACTTTTTGTGGTCAAAATTTAGTAGTGATTGTTAATAAGTTATAACTTTAAAAAGTGTTTAGACAAACATGAGGCAAGGATGACGGTTTTCAATCTGCTGAAAAACTTTATTATTTGAATTGCTCCATACATACATATACATACATAAACATGCATATACATACATACATATGCATGTTTATGTATACACATAAATGCATAAACAAAAAACTGGCTTTGGTTTTTAATCATTTTATTTTACATTGATTTTGCTTTAAAATGTTACAATTTCTAAAAAAATTTTTTATCTAATTTAAAAAAATAAATAAATTGTATTTATTTGAAATCTTTGATAAAGATAATTTTTTGAAGCCTTCGATAAAAATTATTTTTTTAAATCTTTTATTATTAATATTTCAAATGCTGTTGAGAGTGCCAGGCAATATCTATGACAGCCAATAAAATAATTATCAACAAATTTTTAAACAATTTATGTTTTTTTATTTAGTATCATTTGTAAGTTAATCAGTTTAAGGTTAGATTTGAAGTTGTTAACTGATCTAGGCCACTCTAATCATTCTGGTAAATTATTCCATCCAAAAACAACCTTACTTGTAAAAATAGTGTTGTCTACTTAAACAAATTTTAACATATTGAATTCTCAAACTTTTCTTTGAACTTTTTTGAGTTGTTTTATGTAATACCAAGATACCAAGCTTAATCTCCAAGCGTTAATAAAGTAAATGCAATAGTAAGATTAAAATGCAACATCATGATATATTTATCTTTGTACCCAAAAGTGTTATTCAATATTGTAAACATACTATAAGCTTTACTAGTAGCATTTGTTACTTGTCTTTCCTATTCCAAATCTTTGGAAATATTAACACCTAATTCTTTAGTAGATTTTTCTATTTCTTTCAGTTCACCATTATTTTTCATGAAATAAGGATATCTTTTGTTACTTTCACCAAATTTATTTTACATTTCTGAAAATTCAATCCCAATTCCCATTTATACAACCATTCATGAAGTTTTTTTAATGTCATTTCGATATAATTTCGACTTGGAAAAAATAGATGCAATACTTTTATTGTCATTGGTGTACAAACAATATTTATTAATAAATTGTAATAAGAAACATTCTTCAACACATTGTAATAGAAAACATTCTTAAAGAGGTTTAATAAATTTATTAGTTCAAGATATCAGTTACTGAAAAAGGATAATCATTGTCAGACCAATTTATTGTATTATAGTGAAAATTGCCAGTAATAACAAGATCTTTTCTGATAAATACTGGTTCTAGCAGCATTAATAGATAGCAAAATAAAGTTATTGTACCCATAAGATATGTCTGGTGGTTGATAAATGGATTTTATTAAAATTTTTTGATTTTTAAAACATAGCCTATATTTGTTCAATAAAATTATCATTTAATAATGAAATAGTAGCTTTTAACTGATTAATACATTGTTTGACAAATACCTACTTCATGTCTTGTTTCTGAAAATGTTATAATTGTATATGTTTAAGTTTTAAACCAGGTTTTTGTAGCACATATAACATCATATAAATTTAAGTTTGTAATCTTAATTCATCAATCTTTTTATTTGATGTTGTATTTGTGTACCAAATCATCAGATCTTTGCATTTTTATGCATGTGTTCTTTGTTTATACTTAAATTACAATTCTTACACTCTTGAAAATCAACTGGTTCAATACCTAGCAGTGTCTTATCACTCAGCAACTTATTAAGGTCTAAACTTCCTCACTAGACTGATTGGTTTTATTGTTTTGTATTAAAGTCAAAGCATTGTATGTGGTTTTAGTTGTTTTTTTGTGTGGTGTTTTTACTACTACTTGTTGCTAGTTTACCTATTTGCAAATTTGGATAACTAGATAGGAGGGCTAGAGTATTATTGTATTAGATTTGCTAAATAAAATCCCAAGATATAAAATATCTCCATACTAGACCTTTACAATGGCTAAAAGTATTTATTTATTAAAAATGTTTTGTTTTTTTAAATGTTGTCTCAATAATAGACAAGTAATTGAGATAGAAACTATTGGCTTTTATTTTATGCTAAATAGTTTTTAACATCAGACAATCTTTAATTGCTACAGCTCAGATATTAAATAAAGAAATATTATTTTAGTTATTTAAAAAAGTCTTCTTTTTTCTCTATCACTTAAACATTGCTTACTCTCTTGTTTGCCACCATCGGTATTTAAAAACTTCAGCAAATCTTTGCCACCACTGATATTTATATAAAACCATATATATATTATATTATTAAAATATATATATATAAGATATATATTAAAAACCATATATTAAAAGTCTATTGTAAAGTTAGCATACATACATACATACATACATACATACATACATACACACATACATACATACATACATACATACATACATACACACACACACACATACATACATACATACATACATACATACATACATACATACATACATACATACATACATACATACATACATACATACATACATACATATATACATACATACATACATAAATACATACATACATACATACATACATAAATACATACATACATACATAAATACATACATACATACATAAATACATACATATATACATACATACATACATAAATACATACATACATACATAAATACATACATACATACATAAATACATACATACATACATAAAAACATACATACATACATAAATACATACAAGGAGCCCATCTGCAAAACGCGCTAAGTCATAAAAATAAAAATTTTGAATTAATTCTATTTCCATGTTCTATATACTTAAATCTATCATCTATTTAAGTATGCGCAACTAAAAGTAGTTTAGTTTTTTGTTGTTTTCTCAAAATCAGTGACTTAGTGCATTTCACTTAGACTTGGACTGTTGTGCGTTTTGCAACCAGGCTCCTCATACATGCATACATACTTACATACATACATATATGCAATGATTAAAGCTATGGAAAAATGCATATTCACAAATCATAGTCAACAATAATTTTCATTAAAGTTGAAAATTTACATTTTACAACTCATATCTTGTTTTTATTTATTTTTTTTTAGCTTGCTTTAGCTGAAGGAGCTTTGGAAAAAAAAAGCAAAGAAGTTAACTACTTGGTAAAACTAAACTTTCAATATAATAAAATAGTTACTATTACTGTGATTAAATTTTTACTTTTCAATATATAGAAGTAAAAAAAAAATTTAATAAATTGTTTAGTTTTAAATTTTTATGATTTTTTTTTTTCATTGATATATTAATACTTTTGATATATTACTACAAACTCCATTATTTTATCACCATTATTTGTGTTAGAGATTTGCTTGCATAAAATTATGTTTTATGACCATATAATACATGTGATTTAATGTAAAAATGTACTTATAAATAACTTGAAAAGATTTTTATAAAATTTATGAAAAAATTATAGTTCAACAATGGTTTGTGCAACTAATTTTTATGTGAAATAGTTGTAAATAGTTTTTGTGCAAAATAGTTCGAAGTAGCTTTTTAAATTATTCAGGTGACTAAGATTTAGAAAAATTAAAAGTGGTAAAAATGGTAGTGTATTAAGGTGGGGTATATTAAGGTGGGGTGAGTTTTTTCATGAGTTTTTAAAAGTTCTTTATATATACCTATAGTAGTATCATAAATGCGAAAATGGTTATAGTTTACAAGTTTGAATTTCTGTTTTTGCTTTGCCTTATTTTTTTAACATTTTTTTTTTGACTTTTTTTCGATCATCAGATGTAACAACAATAAAAAAGTAACGACAAAAATTATATACAAAAAATGCTATGGAGTGTCCGCTTTGATGACATTAAAGTTTGGCGGCATTTAATATAGGTTCTATACCTTTGTTTTTGCAAATATAAAGGTATAGAACCTATATTAAAATCAAATATTCTCGATCAAGCGGAGCCATTTAAACCTGGTGGTAAATTTTGCAATTTATGCTTGACAGAAAAATACCACATTATTATGTCGCCATTAAATTTGCTTAACAAACGAACCGAGCTTGCGTCAAAATGCCGCCATGAAAATAAATTTCTAATAAAAAACTTTAATGTCATCAAAGCGGACACTCCATAGCATTTTTTGTATATAATTTTTGTCGTTACTTTTTTATTGTTGTTACATCTGATGATCGCTATTGCGTGAAACTTTTAGTTATGTAATTGAAATATATCTTAATAATTATTTAGTTTTCACTATATATATATATATATATATATATATATATATATATATATATATATATATATATATATATATATATATATATATATATATATATAATATATATATATATATATATATATATATATATACTTATATATATATATATGTATATATATATATATATATATATATATATATATATATATATATATATATATATATTTATACTTAAAAATGTGTAATATTTTTAAAAATTAAAGATTCCACACAATTTCTATGTAAATCACTGCCAAATTTTAATATCATATTCTTTAGAGGAATTAATAACTTTATGAGACCTTTATGAGATTTTTTATCCCACCCTATTCCAGCATTCAAATTGGATGTATTTTGGAGTTCGATTAGTTAACTGCAATCCATATCAAATTTAATTTTTGAAATAATCCAGTGGCTTATACTTTAATTTTCAGCCCTTGTATTGTATAGGTGTTGAAAGCCTTAATAATAAATAAGAATAATCTCTAATTGTAATGGTTCTAAAAGAGTAGGTAAAAAACGGGTTAAAATTTTTAAAAAAGAATAACAAAAAAATATTTTGTATGATTTTTAAATAGAAACTGTTTTTTTTTTTTAATGCTCAGAAATGGTATTTATTGTGTTTTTCTTTTTTTATAAAGATATCCATTATAAATCTGCTGTAAGTCTGTTGAATTGAAATGGATAGGGTTTAATTTAGAAGGATTTGATTGGGTCTTATTACAAATTTTATTTGATTTAAATATTATAGAATCAAAAGTTAAATTCAATGGGCGATTACGAAGAAATTAAAAGAGAATTGCAGTATGTGTGATTTCTTTTTCATGTTTAAAGTTAATAGTATGTAAAGTATAATGTTAATAAAAGCTAATATGAATTAAAAAATAATTCACAAATAAAATTATTTAATTTTTTTTTTTCAAAAAATATTCCTAAAGGTTGGTTTCCATATATCTAAAATGGTCATGCGACTGTCGCACGACAATATGGAAACATACTTTGTGACAAATTTTGTGACACTTGATGTGACTTTGTGACAAATTTTGTTACACTTGTAACAAGTTTTGTCTTGCAAGACTGTTTTATGATCATGCTATAAGTGTCGCAAAAATAGAAAAAATTTTATCACAATTGTTACGTGACCCTAAAATAAGATTGTTTCACTATTTCGAAAGTGGAATATTAAAAAAAAATGGATTTCACGTACATAAAATGGAACTTGAACAAGAAAGATTTATCAAAGAATTTAGAGAAGAATGCTTTATGCAGGAAGAGCAGAAGTATCCTGTGCTGTACGAAAAATTTAATACTAAATTTAAGAACAATATTATAAAAAAAAAAATGCTTGGACAGCCATTGGTGTTTTGTTTGGTTTAAAAGAATGTGAATCAAAGTACAAAAAATTGGCTAAGGAATCTCCTATAAATATATGAAAAAAACAGTTTAAAAGATCTCTATTTGACAAAAATACAAAAATACAAGATGCAATAATTAGTACTATGAACAGTATTAATGCAACATTAGGAGTTAGTGCACATAAAGAAAGTGACAACATTACGCATTTTTGTAAATCTATTAGTGCTACAATCAAAAGATTACCTCCTTAAACCCAAGCAGTTGCTAAAATGAACATACAACAATATTTAGCTGCTCTGGAATTTCCAGATATTGTCGACTGATATACAGGCTTTGTCGGGAAGTGGGTGCGATCGCACTCGATAACTGACCACAGATATAATATTTAGTTGTGAAAAACCGGCCAGGTTTTTGAGTCGTTTTGAGAATATTTAAATTTATGTATGTTTCCTTGTTTGTCCGCAAAATAATTAATATTTTAGTATAAATTTTGTTTTACGGACATACATGGAAACATACATAAACTTGATGCTCTGTGCGGAAAAATAAAAAAAGATTATTCATGAGCACAAAATTCTACAAACAGCTAATTCTATTGGTTCAAAAAATACTAACCGAAATTTCTAGAGTATTCAAAAAATACTAACCGAATGTTTCAGAGTATGTTGAAATATTTAAAAAAGTTGTATTATTTGAGCTTTGTTATGTTTTCGTTGAGATTTCTAGCTTAAATTGTTTTAAGAATATACTATTAAACAAACTATTTTTTTAATACTATGGCTCATTCTCAGAGCCACATCTACAAAGCTATAAGTGTTTTAAACTAACATTATTTGTTCACAAAAACAAATGTTTTAAGTTTATATTTTTGGCAGACTTGTAAATGGAGCACCCCCTAAGTTTAAAAGATGTTTTATCGAAAATGATATTTTACTGACCTAATAAAATTGATTAATTAAATTAATTTAAGTGTAACTACATCAATTTATCATAATTAATTAATAGAATTAAGTGTAAATGCTTAACTAACCATTAGAGATTGACACAAAGAAATATACATTCATTAATTGACCGTAAAATTTGGGACAATTTTGGTCACGATTATTAGTATTTCATAGGGATGTGTTGTTTACAAGTCTGCCATATTTTTTAACTTGTCAAAGTTTTATAAATATATTATAGATCTTATAAGTATATTCTTATTTTTTATATATAAGGGATGTATTTTTTATGTATGTAATGTATTTTTATGTTTGTAATGTATTTTTATGTATGTAACGTATTTTTATGTATGTAATGTATTTTTATATATGTATTTTTTATGTAAGTATATTTTATTCAAATGTAATCTTTTAAAGCAATTTGTGGGATTGATTTTGTAAACAAAAATACTTTCAATTATAATTGCGTTTTTAATGAAATTAATAATCATCAAAGTTGATACAAAAAAACTTTAACCACTAATCCATTTTCCTTTGTGTACCCGATAACTGATTTTTTCCCCCAAGAAAGAAAAGTTTTTAAGCTCTTAGAAATTGGTTTACTAACTTCAATTATTTTTGCTTCAGCCATTCTTACAAACTCGTTATACTTAAACTTAAAGTGACTTTTTCTGTTTTAAATACTAATTAAAGTTATAAAGCCCACTCACTAAACATTTTAGGCGGTATTGTGAAGCAGTTCCGCTTCCTCCTCCCAAAGTAATTTAACATTTTTAGGTAATTTCTATCTTGCTAATTGAATTTCTACAGTATCTCAATGATTTAATTATTTCCTTCGTTTATCTTACTAAGAAGAACTTTTTCAAATGTGTTAAACTTTTCAAACTACGCAAAGCATAAAACAGTTATTGAAAAAACTTTTTTATTTATAAACAAATCATTTGGCGTTAGTTTTATTGGTTGAATCTTGTTGGACTTTTCAGGGCCGGGTGCTGCATTATTTAGGTGGCCTTTTTTATGTGCTACAGCGTAAACATGACTAAAAAAATACCGAATGGTCCTCTTGACTATTTTGCGCCCCCTAACATTGTGAGTCCCAAGGCTATAGCCCTTCTAATCCTCTCCCTCCCCCCCCCCCACACACACACACACACCTCCTCAAATTAGCTCTGGAAATAAGACACAAGTATATAAACAAAAATTGTATATACTCTTTGATAAATCGAAAAACATTTGTTTTCTTAATAAACAATCATTAATACTAAGTTGTTACTTTATATAATAAATGTTGCTTAATTTTATACCGGTTTTTTGCAACTAAATATTATTTTTAAGTCTGATATACAATTTGTTTTTTTTTTTTAACAATTGTTTAACATTTTGTTATACATAATTTAAACCATTAAATATATTAATAATACAAAAAAAAAGATTGTTTTTTTTTTATTGTTCCTAAAAAATTATATTTCATGCTAGATCGTGCCCACAGCTAGTTACATAGTTATGTTGCCATGAAAAGGATGATGAAAATACTCTTTTGATGATACTTGGATGATGAAAATACTCTGTTAGTGTTGATCTTACAGTGTTAGCATCTGTTGATCTTACAGTGTTAGCATCTGTTGTGATTGCTTTGAGATAAAATTGAGGTAAAATATGCAAAACATTCAAGTGTTATTTTCCTCCAGTCTCCAGGAATAACTTCACAAAAATTTGTTTCTAAATCAATAAATCCAGATGGTACATAGTTAATGCCGTCATTGATCTTTAAATAATTATGTAAACAACTTGCAGCCTTTATAATGTTTTCAATATTTTCTGGGGTTGCTTTTATTGGATGTCTTAATACTCTCCATTTAGCTACCATAGTTTCAAATATGTTTTTTTAATTTTTTAACTAGTCTTAATCGATATTCAAAAATACGTTCTTTAATTGTTAAATTTTTACCAGAAAAGGCTGTATAACCATGATTTCAATGCAAAAATACTTTGTATACTTTTTATATGTGTATATTCGTCAAATATTTTTTTTTAACAATTTGTAGAGAAGATAGTTTTAAAAAATCTTTAGCTGAAAGCGCATATTTCATAAATTCAATAACAGGCTTTTAATATTATAATAATTTAAAAAAAAAAAAAAGGAACATTATTTGCTTAACATCACGAAAGTGATAAAAAAAACATTTACATAAAAAAAAAATTAATGGAAACAGCTGGTCGTGCGACAAATATTGCAGATTTTGTTGCACAACAGTTGCCGCACGACTGTTGTGCAACTATATGGAAACCAACCTTAAGATATTTATTCATCTTTTTTTTTTTTTTTTTTAATATTTTTAAGGATTTACTTTACTAACAAAATCACTTCTAACAAAATTTTAGGTAACATTCAAGTTTAGAGAAAAAGTTAAAGAGCAAGAAATTAACTTTAAAAGCTGTAAGTTGTATGATTCAGGAAAACATAATCACAAGAGAGAATTTCAAAGCGCTGATGTTGGAAAAAAAAAACTAGTTGAATTTCTGTCACAACTAGCCCCTCACAACTAACCCCAGCAGTTGTAAGAAAAACTCCATCTACTAAAATTCATTCTTGTGTTACTCGTCATTTAACTATTCCTAAGTGCTCCAAAAATAAAAAAAAAGTTTTTTTCCTCAAACATCAGTTCTTTGGAATTCGCTTTCTCCTTCTTGCTTTCCTGATTCATATAATTTGCAATCTTTTAAATTGTCTGCCAATCGTTATTTTGCTCAAAAGTTCAAGTGGACCACCACCCACCATGTTTTTGTTTTGTCTTGTGACCATCATCCATCCATGTTTTTGTTTTGTCTTGTAATGCAACAACCGAAATAAAACTTTTCAGTCTTTTCCTCTCAATGAGAAACTCTTTTTTTTTAATGTCATTATGATCATGAAATTAAAAGTTTATAAAAAATTAAAAATTTATCAATCCGAGAAAGCACAAAACTGACTGATTGCAATGCAACCAACAGCAATAACTTCTCAAGTTAATTGCTTAACAGCCATTAAATGCAGCACATGTTTTTGAGTAATATTTTTTCATAACACAAACTACATTTCCTTTTTCACTCTATCATGTTTTCATAATGCTCTTTTGTTATCTTGCTCTATAAACTTCATCTTTTCTCTTCCAGTAACTTCCAACTCTAATAGTGGTTGCTTACAGCCTTGTTGGAAGTAAAGATGTTGAAAAAAAAAAATATATATATATATATATATATATATATATATATATATATATATATATATATATATATATATATTATATCATTTGATATAGTTATTGTTATATTGTAATATATAAAGTAAAATTGAAATAAGATCCAAATAGTTATATGGAAATGCACATAGTTAAGCTGAAATTTTCTTATGTAATCTTTCCTGTAAAAACCTGTGACATTTCGTAATGTAAAAAATGATCTTTTTGTGCAACTGTCAACTCAGTATAAAAAAAACAGCACTATATGATCTTGCCGTCCAGTTTCGTAGACCTGAGAAATGTGATAATAAAAACAGTTAGAAGATGGTGTCATTGAATAAAAAATAAAAATCATAAGAAAATACAAAATGAGTGATAAGACTTTTGTGAAGGTAAAGAACGAAGTAAATGCTCGGAGGGCAAGGAGAGAACAATTAACACTCTAATCACTCTGTATGTAGATCATATGTAACAAAGAACAAATATTTGATATACTAATTTTGAAGACTGTTGATGTCTACAGGTGTGATGGTGTAGTGCATTAGTATGTACCGTTTGTCGTCTAGTATGGTCTCGTTATGTTTCCATTCACTTTCAAATTGGGTGAATAGAAAGCTAAACACACTCACTTCTTGCGCTTATGGGCTAGCACATCAGAGCCAGACGTAAGACCTACAGAATGGATTTCAATTGATCGAATGCACACATTAGTCACCGTAGGCCACAAGCCATCACTCTTAACCAAAAGAGCTACTGCCCCGTGCTGGTGTGGAATGATGTGCTATGAAGTGAGATTTCAGATCCGAGCACATAGTCAGCGAGCGCTGATCCGACGCGCATTGTGGAGCTTCCAACTGAACGTGTGCGTGAGTGTCAGCGTAGTCATTAGGTTATTGAGCGCCGTAACCACATCCAGCAGGATAGCCTAATTTCCGTTTTGTCGTTGTGGTGTACATTAGAAAAATGTTGGGGCTCACCAGCCACAAAGAATAAATTTTTTTGCATTGCGACACAATGATCGCAAAAAGTGACCAACGGAGCCGTCCAGTTACGTAGACCTGGGAGATGTGAAAATAAAAACAGATTGAAGATGATGCCATTTAGGTAAAAAACATAAATTAATGTAAAGATTATTTAGTAGGAGGAATAAAAGTTAGCAACTCAGGAAAAGAGGAATAAAAACTCACACTCTAGTCATCTTTTAGTAAATGTTCTATGAGTAAACAGGTCAATAAAAATCCGCTGGTTTATAATGGTATTCATAACTAAAATAATCGCACCATACAAGTGTCTAATAAATGTGGTACTATATATGTTCTAAACTCTAGATAAAAAATTGGGAACTGATAATCACCTGTGTAACATAAAAATATATAAATGTCGTTAATGTAACAAATTCATAATAAAAAGCTCACAAAGCGCAAAAATACATGGGTTTAAGAGGTAAAAAAATGTTGGTGCCATAATAACCAATTAGAATTCAGTAGTGGATAAATGGTGATCCCCCTCCTCAGGAATGCACTGCGATCACCAATGACGTTTCGGAGAGCCCGAGACCTGCACTAATGTCACTCGTCAGGGGCGTGTCCTTGCAACAGATCTCACCGCCTGCACTCTACGTCATGCTAGTCAATATTGCAATATAATAGGACTACACTACAAAAGCTAAAAAACCCAATCCCTATCCCAGTTTTTGAAAACAGCTCCAACATTCTTAGAGATCTTGTGAGGGTGGTGAGGAATGCACGTGGTGTGACCATAAACAGATATGTAAACACATATAAATATAAGGTACCCTTACATTAGAAGAAACAAACTTGTACACATGTACGTATGCGCGTGTGTAAATAAACAATTATAATGTGTAGAAATAACAAAAGGCGAATAGAAAATAGTAATTAATAATTAATAGTAATTTACCGTTTCTTTTATGGCTGAAATATGTATTATAAATATAATAAGTAAATACCACTCATAAGCATTGATACTAAGTTAAGATGTTTTGTGGTTAGTACGAAAATAGTTAAACGAAAGTATGATAAAAAATATAAAACTCTAAATAGTATGTTCTCATATAAATCTTGCCTGGTAAGTAGAGACAATAGCTATCACACAAAACAGACTCAGAGTAATTAAATAACGATTAGCCAGAGATAAAAAAATATACGAACATCAAATCAGTAGGCAGAAAATAATGAGGAAATAAAAAGATAAGACAATATATGCGATTTTAAACTAATAGCTTATAACGTCTAAAAAATGTAACGTTAAAAAACAATATTGTTGACAAAACGACCAAAGGAACGTTAGTGAAGACTGTATAGTGCAAACCTCAACAAACTAACTTAGCAACATCAAATCGAGAAAATTAGATAAAAACATTAGACAAAACATTAGTCTAAACTTATCTAATGAAATTGTTCAGTATATTCCAACCAAGAATACATTTGTTATAAAAAATACGCTAATACGTACTTTTGTGTAAAATTTTCGCGCTGTTATACTTCTCACAAATATACGGCCTCATTCACACATAACACAAATCTGAATAAATATACAAGGATAAGGTAAAAAAAAGGTTATGAACAAAAGTATATAATAAAGAACAAATATTTGATATACTGGTTTTAGAGGCCGTTGATGTCTACAGGTGTGATGGTGTAGTGCATTAGTATGTACCGTTTAGTCGTCTAGTATGGTCTCGTTATGTCTGTCGTGTGTTTGTCTTACTCTAATGATTTTTTTCTTTTATTATTTTTTTTTCTTTTATTTTGAAAAAAAATCACCTGAGTAATAGCATATGTGCTACTACTCTGAATAATAGCATATATGCTACTACTCTGGTGATTTCTATATCTAGTCAATATTTAATAGAATATATTTTAATAATATATATCATTGCTTTGTGGAATTTCTTGCTTGATGTAGCTTAATGTACCTATGAAAAGTAATGCCATCAACACAATATCTTGCACTACATCCATAAGGCTTATGGAAAATATGGACTCGATTGCTTATGATAAGCAAAACAGGGCATGTCAATTTATATATTTTTAGCCTACACTCAGTATAAATAATGTAAAGCTAAAGAAAAATATAGTAATAAATATGTATTTAGTTGCTCTGTTCTTTTAAGAACACTCTTTTTTGTAAAACACGTTTAATATAAATATATATTTAACATACAGTTTTATTTTCTCAAAAAATCTTTTATTCTTTCTGAAGTACAACATCTTCTAGTAATGTGTTGAAAAACAGCTATCTGAATGTCTTTTTCAGTATTCCAAATGTTTCTAGAATAAACTGAAAAAGGCAATCAGTTAGCGAATAATTCTTTATAAGATAGTATAAACTGCCGAACATAAACTGACAAATTATTCAATCATTTTATTCATATATATGTATATATATACATATATATATATATATATATATATATATATATATATATATATATAATATATATATATATATATATATATATATATATATATATATATATATATATATATATATATATATATATATATATATATATGTATATATATATGTATATATATATATGTATACATATATATATATGTATACATATATATATATTTATATATATATATATATATATATATATATATATATATATATATATATATATATATATATATATATATAAAATTATATATATACTATATGTATAATTATATAGTTAATTGGGTTTAAAAAAAATAATCTAAAATTTCTAAAAGATTGAGTTACTTTAAGGAAGGTTAAAAAACTTTTCATGCAAAATTTTACTCAAAATTTTTATGTTGCAATGCATATAGATGTAAAGATAGTTATTTTTAAAAATTTTGAATATATTAATTGTTTCCATTAAGTGGTCATTTTTCAATAACTGCTTATTGCCTTGATATAATCCACAAACTGTGTTGTTATAATGTTAGGATAGATGAAAAAAGGTTTCATCAAACTGATAAACTTTGGTACCATCAAAAGTTTGTATTACAACACCAAACAAACCCAAAACAAAGGTTTATTAGCTGAGGTTGTTCATTATTGAATAACAACATTTTTTTGTTTACTCAGCAAATTTTTAAATGGTTCCATGATGCTCAGCAAATTTGATTGCTCAAATTTTTTAGTAAACTTTTTTTGCCACACATTTGTAAACTTTATATTAGCAAGTTTACTTTGAGCATATGCTGACCCAGATCCAAAATGCTTTGCTGATTTTATCAAAGTTTATTTCAGCCTAAAAAATGTGTATGATTTAATGAATTTTATGATTTAATGAATTCTAGTGCTTTAGTTTTATTTTAAATTCATCAAGTCATTTAAAAAGGAAATTCAGTGAAGAGCCAGTGAAGTGCTAAACTACTGTTGAAACTACTCAAATGATTTGAAACTTGTGAAATCCTGGATAATGCCACTTTATTAATGAAAATACAAAGTTTTTAAATTTGGCCAAAAAGAAGATTTAAAAAAAAAAAAATAATAAAATAAAAACTGAAGCTTTGAGTCATCTTTTAATTTTCAAAGTATTTTTTGAAGATGCATGAAGTGGTGGGTGTGAGAGGATACAAATGTTATCATTTAAGTTTTGTGGAGAGAATTAAGTCTAAAAGTATTCTAATAAATAAGTTTTTTCATATACAGTTGTCAAATGACAACTTCGAACTCGACATTAAAAAACACAGAATGCAAATTATGTTATTTAACCTGATCAGTAAGTAATGTTAAAATATATTCAAGAACTAAGTGTATTTCCTTTTTTTTTTCATAAACATGATGTAAAAACATTTAAAAAAAATTCAAAATTTGAAAATTTTGTATACTTTAGAGTTTTGAAATTGATTGAATTTCCTGGTCTAAAAGAAGATGAAAATGAGGTATATATTTATTAAGAATATATGTTAAATATATTCACATTAAAATTTGCAAGGTTTTTCATACATTATTATGTAAAGTATTTATACAGTAGAATCCTGTTAATTCAAATAATGAGTGACAATCTGAATGACACTTTTTGTTTCTTGAAATTTTTTGTTGAAAAATAAATGATATAACTGTTTTTTAATCTTTTATTTATTATAATGCACTATCAATGCAGGTGTATCAAAATATATTATCATTAAAAATAATTAATTTTTTATTTAGTTTTATATTTTTTAACTGTTTTCCACTAAATTCCTACTAAAAAATAAATTTGTACCAATTTATCAGTAAATTTAAAAGCCAGCAAAAGTTATATCTATAGTAAAAGTTATAACCATAGTTCCAGTAATTCCAGTCTACATAGTTCTAGTATATCCATGTTTTGCCATAGGCACAAGTTATTTAGAATAATATCTTGTACCTACTAGATGTCAAACAAATCTGATTCCATCTGGCCTCCTCCCAGGAGGTGGGGGGTGGAGTGGTGGGTGGTGCAACTGTATAAAAAATGTCTAAATTCATGTTTC